TGAAGATGAAATAACAATTATAAAAATATATATACAAAAATGCCAAGGTTCCTACCAATGTGAGACAACACCACACATCTTCTCATACAATAATGAAGTAAAACTGAAAGCCAGAAAGCCAAAATACCCCAGAAAACATATAAACAGTTGGAAACTGAACAATGCTGCTGAATGAACAATTATAGAAGAAATCAAACAGGAAATTTTTTAAATTTCTTGAAACAGAACAATTATAGAAGAAATCAAACAGGAAATTTTTTAAAATGACTTGAAACAGACGAAGGCATCAACACAATGTGTTAAAACTTGTGAGACACAGCCAAAGCAGTGCTAGGAGGAAAGTTTATTGCAATCAGTGCTATGTCAAGAAACTAGAAAGGCACCAGGTAAATAACTATAGTTCTAAAGGAGTTAGAAAAACAATAGCAAATTAATCCCAAGATTAGCACACACACAAAAAAATAATCAAAATAAGGGATGAAATAAACCAAACAGAAATCAAAAGAACAATGCATAAGATCAATGAAACAAAGATCTGATTTTTTGAGGAAATCAACAAAATAGATCCCCCACTAACCCAACTAACCCCAAAAAGCAGGGGTGGGGGGTGGGGCAGACACTAATCAATCAGAGATGAAAAAAGAAAACATAACAAGGGATATTGCACATGTACATAGAATAATCAGAAACCAATACAAGCAACTATACACCAACAAATCAGAAGACCTAGATGAGTCAGGTAGATTTCTGGATACATAAAATTTACCAATTTACTGAATCATGAGGTAATAAAAAATCTAAATAGAACTGCAACCAGAACAGAGCTTGATTTAGTAATTAAATCCTTCCCAACAAATGAAATCCCAGTTCTGGATGGCTTCTGAGCCGAATTCTACCAAACATTCCAAGAGGAATTTACCTCAATTCTCCAAAACTTATTGAACACAAAAGAAAAGGAAGTAATCCTTCCAAACCCTCTTTATAAAGCCAAAATCACCTCAACACCAAAACCAGACAGACACACGGAGAAAACAAACCACTCCTGATGAACAAAATGCAAAAATCCTCATCAAGATACTAGAAAACAGAATTCAACAACACATCAGACAGGACCAGGTGGGATTTATCCCTGCCATGTGTGGATGGTTTAATACACACAAATCAATAAAGGCAATATGCCACATTAACAAAATAAAGAATAAAAACCACATGATCATCTCAACAGATGCAGAGAAGGCATTTGATAAAAATTCAACACCATTTCATGCTAAAAACCCCCACCAAAACCATGAAGAGACTATATCAGCCAGTGGATTCTGAATAGTTTTCATCATGGTTGGAACAGCGAGATTGGCAGCAATTCAGAAATGGTGAACTATCAAAACTGCTTGAGCAGGACCCTTGGAGCAAGCCTCACTTCGGGGACCTGGGATGGGTGGAAGGCTAGGTGGGGCTTCTCCCTTTGTTTCTCCCCTGACCCCAGATACGGAGGGGGGAAATGATGGTAATAGTGTAGAAGTAATGGTCTTACCCAGTTTCCTATAGCCCTAAACCCTTTGTACCCTAATTAACTAAGTAAGATTATTTTAAAAAAAAAAGCAAGATATGCATAGAAGGAACACTCTACAACACAAAGCAATTTATGACCCAATGCCAGCATCATATTGTGGCATTCCACAGCGTCCCTAAAAGCTTCCCACCGAGATCTGGAACTAGACAAGGATGTCCTCTATCACCACTGCTATTCAACTATATACTGGAAGTTCTAAAAACAGCTATTAAGCAAGAAAAAGAAATTAAAGGAACTCAAATTGAAAAGAGGATGTCAATTTATCCCTGTTTGTCAGATTATATGATTCTATACAAAGAAGAACCAAGAGTCAACCAAGAGACTATTAGAACTCATAAGAGAATTTGGCACGGTAGCAGGTAACAAATCAATGATCATAAATCAATGACCCTAGTATACACAAATAATTCCATGGCTGAAAAAGAAGTTGTAAGGACGGTCCCTCTCAAAATAGCAGAAAACAACCTTAAATACCTTACAATAAACCTAACCAATAAACATGAAACATTTTAAAAAAAAATAGAAGAAGACATTAAAAGATGGAGAAATGTTCCACGTTCCTGCATCAACAGAATCAACATCATCAAAATGTCCATATGACCAAATGTAGCATACGTATGCAATGTGATTCCAATAAAAATTCTAACAACATTCTTAGATCTGGAAAAAAATGATACAAAAATTCATCTGGAAACACAAGAGACTACAAATAGCCAAAGATATCTTGAAAAATAAAAATAAAGTTGGAAGAATCACAATCCCAGAGCATAAGACATATTATAAGGCAATGATAATTAAAAGTCTGGCACTAGTATAGAAACAGAGAAGATGATCAATGTATCAGAATAGAAACCACAGAATCAAATCCACATACATGTACAACCAACTAATCCTCCACAACAGAACTGAAAATAAGCCAGGGGAAAAGCCTGGTCTCCAACAAATGCTGTTGAGATAACTGAATAGAAGCCTGCAAAAGCAAAAAAAAAAAAAAAAAAGCAAGACTCCCACGTGTTACCTTATACAAAAATCAGCTCTAAATGGATCAAGGACCTAAATCTGCACCTAGATATCTAGATATCATCAAACTATTAGAGGGAAACATAGGAAGCACTCTACAAAAATCAGGCATTGGTAAAGGCTTTTCAGAAAAGTCACCAAAAGCACAGGCTATCAAAGCCAAAATAAACAAATTGCACTGCATCAAACTACAAAGCTTCTGTACAAAACTGTAAACAAAGAGGCAATCAATAGAACGTGAGAAATCCTTTGCACACTACACAACAGATAGGGGCCCAACATATAGGATTTATTAAGAGTCAGAAATACAACAGCAAAACAAACCTGTTAAGAAATGGGTGAAGGAAATAAGCAGATATTTTTCAAAAGAATAAATTCAGATGGCTAATAGACACATAAAAAAAATGTTCAGGCTCCCTAGCATTAAAGGAAATACAAATAAAACCACACTGAGGTTCCACCTAACTCCGGTGAGTATGGCCTACATATAGAAATCCAACAACAGCTGCTGGTGAGGATGTGGGCAAACAGCTACCCTACCACAATGCTGATGGGATTGTACACTAGTATGGAGAGTGCTTAGACAACTTAAAATTGATCTGCCATATGATTCAGCTATCCCACTCCTGGCAACATATCCACAAGAAGTGAAACCTACATACAAGAAAGCAACCTGCATCTCTATATTCATCACAGCATAATCCACAACGACAAAGACACAGAAACAACCCAGATACCCATCGAAAGAGGAATGGATAAAGAGACTGTGGCACATCAACTCTATGAAATAATACTCAGTCATTAAAAAGAATTAAATTCTACCATTTGCAAGAGAGTGGTCCCAACAGAGTCCATTAAACTCAATGAAATAAGCCAGTCTCAAAAGGACAAATACCACGTGTTCTCTGATACAGGTGAACCTTCATTTAAACTCAAAATAAGAAGATACATTGCTAAGCACCTATGTACATATACTTTCATAAGTCAATGTTGTAATGGTGACTAGAGTACTGGTAAAACATAGAAGCACTACAACGTACACCTCTACTCCTGACTAAAAGAAGGAACCCAATGAAACTGCTAAATATACCTTGACAACAAGATACTAGATTCTCTACCATTGTTTATACCTGCAATGCTATAACACAAGCAAATATCAGAATGTTGGAATTATGACTGCAGCTGAACAACTATACTACTGTAAAATACAGGGGAAAGTGGGTAGGGAGGAAAGGAAAGGAAGACGGAAAGTCCTATACCTATAAATCCATATAATGGAAAGCATAAATAAATAAGTAAATAAATAAGCAAAAATTTTTTAAAAGAATACTTAAGACCTATTTACATGAGCAGATGGGGGGAGAAATCCCAGGACCTATGGAACTTTATCATAAAATAAGTACAAAATTTTAAAAGACCTATTTGCATTGTAATTTCTTTCTTTAACTATAAAATGTAGTTTTAAGACAATATGATTCTCAAGGTTGCTTATACCTCTATGATCACACTACCTAACCATATGTTTAATTTAATTAAATTAATAAGTAGTTTTTAATTGAAGATACTACTCAGCCATTAAAAAGAATAAAATCCTGCCATTTCCAAATAGATGGTTCCAAATAGAAACCATTATAATCAGTGAAATAAGCCAATCCCAAAAGGACAAATATCAAATGTTCTCATTGTTTTAAGGCAACCTTCATGTAAAATATAAGCTCATGCATATACATACAGTCATCTAGAGGAACAGTAAAAAAGAGACTATCATATCAAGAGGTGAACACACAAAGTAGTATGAAGCTCTACTTCCAAATCAAACATGGATTCCCAATAAAACCGTTAAATATATCTTGACAACAGGATGCTGGACTTTCTGCCATTGTCCACACCTACAGTGTCAGGACACTCTTAAATAGCAGAATGAAGGACTCGTGACTATTGTTGAAGAACTATACCATTGCAATAATAAAGGGGAAAGCAATGGGGAGTAGGAGATTTAGGGATGAGGGAGAGGAAATCCCAAATTCTATTGGAACTGTGTCATAAAATTAATTAATCAAGTTTAAAAAGTATCTTTTAAAAAAAACTAGTGTGCTCTCAGATTTGCAAGTAATGTGCCATATGCACACAATAAAACAGGTAAAAGTCTTAAAATACAGAAATGTCTTTTTCCCTATCAAAAAAAAAAGTATGCATCAGAAGAAGCACATTAATTAGGTAAATGAAAACAACTGTGACAAATCTGGAACATTCTAGCAGCAATGATTCACATAAGCCCTAACAGTGAAGAGCAAGTAACTTTTGCCCTACTTACAAGCAGGAGACCTTTGTACATTAGACTAACCAGACACAGAAAGGCAATTACTGTTTATACAAAGAGCAGTGTTAATAATCAAAAGTGTACACTCACCTTGTAAGGACTCCCCCTTGCAAGCAATGAAGTAGAAGAAAACAATTCTGAATTTCTTGGCCTGCTTGCTTTAAATCAGCTTTGAACCAAGAATAACTAAAGCACTGGACCACAAATGTTCCAAAAAGCATGAAACTTAATGTTAAAACACCAAAAATATATTGTCCTTCACGGAAAAATTTAGCAGATACCCAGATGTCGACAATTAAGTCAGTCATATATATTATAATGCCAAGAACTGACATCATAAAATTGCATTTAGTGTATTTCATGATTGTATCAATATGGTTCTTCTTATATACCAACTCCTCTTCTCTGATAAAAAAAAAAAAAGAAAAAAGAATACCAGAACAAATATTATTGCTTTTGGTATAGCACCAAACTATATTTTCTGCTCCCTAAATCTATCTAGATGAGTAAATGTTATTAAATCAGAACACCAAAATCAAAGTGACTAATTTTAACTTCTTTTAAAATCTCCATCCAAGGTCCAATGTTAGAAGGCTTTGTAAAATCTTCTGCTTCAACGATCTTCTTTAAAGACAACACCTAAACTGAAACATATACATAACTTTTTTAAAAATCATGAGTACTTGACCATGGCATTTTATCATAGGTCTATTTTAAGAAAAATAATACATTAACACTAAATATAGTTCTCACAGTTTATGGTAAGTAAAGCTGACAATTCCTGTTAGACTCCAGTTATCTATCTTCTAAAAACACAGCTTACTCTGAGATGCTTATCACAGGATCATTTATACTGGGGGAAAAAGACTGGAAACTACCTAAAAGTATCATCAAAAGGAAATGGTAAAGTAAATAAAGGCAGATTCATAAAATGGAATATCACAAATCTTCTAAAATGTATTTAACAAAAAAAGCACAATAGCAGTGAACATTCTTCATGTACATTCGACCCAGAAATTCTATCCAAGGGTCTAGCTAAGGAAATAATTGTGCGTGTGTATGTGTGTGTGTGTGTGTACACATATTCTTTGCAAAGCCTTTTTTATGACAGCAAAAAACTGAAAACTACACAAATAGTGACTGAAAACCCTACCTTAGTAAATTCATGATACAGTCATAACAAAGGACACACTATACAAGCTTTATAAATAATGAAGTAACTCTGAACTGACTTCATATAACTTCTAACAAGTATGAAGTGAAAAAAAAAAGAATGCCAAAATATAAATACAAAATTTATGGATTGAATATCTATGGAGTGGGAAAGGGAGATGGGAGTAAATGCAATTCCAATCATTTATTCTCTTGAGTTTTTATAACATACTTACATGCTACACAATTTAATATAAAAACAACAGTAAATGATACTTAAGAAGAATTTTAGTGAATTCTCACTACTAATGAAGCCTAACATGCCAAACCATGTATCAGTCACAGGAGCTAAATGTTGCATACGATATAGTTAGTATACAACTTAAACCTTACATCAAACTCAGGATCTACACACCACCCTAATGGATTCATTTGTATTTTTTTTTTTACTTAATCCATTTGAAAGACAGAGTGACAAACAGAGAGAGAGAGAGAGAAAGATCTTTCATCTGCTGACTCATTTCCTAAATTGCTGCAACACTCAGGGCTGTTCCAGGCCAAGGCCAGGAGCCTGTAACTCCTCCAGGTCTCTCATATTGTGGTAGAGGCCAATTACTTGAGTCATTTCCTACAGCTTTCCAAGAGAGATTATCAGGGAGCTGGGTCAGAAGTGAAGCAGCCAGATTCAAACCAGCATGCCAAAATGGCACGCCAGAATCAAAGGCAGGAGCTTTACCCACCGTACCACAACACTGGCCCTAGAAAAATAATTTTAAAATTTCATTTTTCCTATCCAAAAGTCCATAAATTTCCTGTAGATCTCTTATATTAAAATGAAGGACATAAAGCCCAACACAGAGAGAGAATTTAGAAGAATGAGGTTGTACAAAGAAGTTCTATTTAGTTGAAGTAAGCAAAGGTTAGTTAGAACCTATGATGTACTATTTTAGGTTCTTGAGATATAAGTACACAAGAAACAAAAAATCCCTGTCCTTGTGGCACTTGCATCTTGGCAGAGAAAGTTAGTCAACTAACAATAAAAGCAATAAATGAGTAAAATAAGTCTTATACTATAAGGTAAAAAGTGCTAAGGAGAAAATCCAAAGACTGGTGAAAGAGAGCAGGAGTTGGAATAGAGGCGGTGCCATCCACAAATGGATGGTAATCTTAACTGTGTTGGCCAGGGCAGGACTCACTGAAGAGTTGGTATTTGCATAGTAGAATTAGCTCTGTGGGAATCAAATGGAAAAATCTTCAGGGTGAAAAACATAGCTGGTTCCAATGTCAAATGCACTGGATTTCAAGTATGTCCTCCAGCAACAAGTATGAACAGAGATTCCTTACCATGGTAATACTGGAAATGTTTAATGTGTAACCCAATCATGTCCTAAGAGTACTCTAAAAATATATAATTTTGTAAACTTTAACATCCAGTATTAAGAGCAATTCTGCAAACATAACAGAAGAATAGAGAATAGTAATGGTAGCCAACATTACTGAGTGATTACTACAAAGAAAGTATCTGGTATATATAATTTTTTTAATCCTGACAAATCCCCGTGAGATGTATCACTGGCCCTTCTTCATGGACCTGAAAACCGAGGCTTAAAGATGTTGAGTATTAAGATGAGCTGCCTCCACTGAATAAAGTGTGTTTGCCTCTAACACTTGGGCTATAATTTAAAAACATCACACATCAATTGAGAAGACAGAAAACCGTAATAGTTGTTTGAATATGACACAGGCATATCATTCTGTACATCAGAGACAGACTGATACCATAGAGTATTATTCTTTTCTGGAAGGGAATAAAATGAAAGGAGAAAAGCAGTTAGAATGGCAAAGCAGGTAGTGCTAGGCCTTCTAAGCAAAAAGTCTTTAATTTATTTTCTCTTAACTTATAAGAGTCTTTAATACTCTTCTCAGAATTGACTCTTCCCCCATCAGAATCAGATGTATAATGTCCAAAAGGCTAAGATCTAACTAAAATGCAATAGTGCAGCTATATTTTTTAATGTGAATAGAGTCTTTAAATGATACTATGATATCTAAGCACTCCATCTTTGCATTTCCTGCCTCAGTTCTCACAAACTTTTACCTGGCATGAATAAGGAAAACACCAAGCAATCCTGAGTTAAATTTTACCAAATGGGAAGAACAATTGCCAAGAAACTGAAATCACATTGGCTCAAAAGAAAGATACAGCAATGTCCACAGTCAGGCAGAACACAAAACCCAAAGCAGGAAAGCCTGTACAGGACGCGAACAAACACAACCATGCCCAGAAAGAGAATCCTTGCTCTTTCAATAAGCTCCACAGCTGCGTAACTTATACCAAATACAGTTCATCTCTATCCCCCCAATTCATCATTGCTCCAATACCTCTTAGCAGAAACAATACCACCAACAAAATGATCCTTCACACGGGACTTCTGACACTTTCTAACTTAACTGCATGGTTTCAATTCAATTTCATTCAGAAGCCAAGCTATCTGAATATCTTACTGTCAGCTGAAACGGCAGACATGAAGTTTGCTCACTGGACATGACAAAACAGCCACCGAAAGAAATAAAATCTAGGGAATTTTCCCTTCTCCACCAAATGTAAACATATAAAATATAGACTTACTTGTCAAATAAAAGTCTCTTCTGGAAAAGTGCCATCTGATGAGTTTTTTTTTCTTCACTAGAAGCAAATATAGTTAGAAAGTGTAAGTCTTTAAGATCAGAAATAAAATGAAACTGAAATCATGTTAGTCTTCCACGGCCCTTCCTGAGGGCACAGAATCTACCTCACTGAGCACAGCGTGTCTCTTCATAGCCGTCTCCCTGAGAGGAAGAAATAGCGTTGCTCCTTCAAAGGCTGACAAGGTTCCATGCTTTCTCTGTATTTGCCAACTAAGTCTAGAGAAAGTACAGTTGGTCTCACGGCATATTCAATGGACAAGAGACGCTACCTGGAAAGATGAAATTCTTGAATCTGATATAGTGCTACAGATTTTTTTAATGCCAATAACCTAGCCATATCTATATTTCCAGCATATGACATGGAACTTTTCAAATCCTATGGCCCAACAGCATATACTTGCTGTTCTCTATCATTCAAATAAACACTGTTGCTTTCATTTCCAAGCATTTATTGAAGGTTGTTCACAGTCTCTAGAACAACCTCCATCTCTCTGATGAAATTCTATCAATTTTTTAAGATTTTTTTTAAATTACACAGAGGAGTGACAAAGAGAAATATCTTCCATCCAGTGGTTCACTCCCCAAATGGTCACAACAGCCAGTACAGAGCTGATCTGAAGCCAGGAGCCAGGGGCTTCTTCTAGGTCTCCCATGCAGGTGCAGGGTCCCAAAGCTTTAGGCCGTCCTCAACTGCTTTCCCAGGCCACAAGAATGAATGATTATAAAGAAACTGAACAGGATGTAAAAATCCCTGATCTTGTTTCTTAAAGAAGTTAAACTCCCATTGCACCAAAAATATGAGTTTTACAACTTTAGCTTAGATCTCTTTTCAAATCTCAACCCACATACCCAAATGTATAACTACAAATGGCCATGGTATAAATAGCCATATCCCAAAGCCATGTTCATTATCTATCTTCTGTGCTCCCCTGCTGCACTCTCCTCGGATGACTCTAAACAAGTTACTTTTCAACTATTTGAAAAGTTACTTTTCAACTATTATTGAGCCCATTTGTTTTCCTCTGTCAAATAAATGTCTTGGCTATACATTAAGTAAAGATGGAAAAACAAAGAAAATTCTAATTTCAAAAGGCAAACAAAAACAAAGAGGTAAGAGAAAAGAGCAGCCCGAGATCCACGAAAAACAGTGCAGTCTGAGAAATCAGTGCTGTAGCTTCCTCTCCAGCACCCATTGGGTTTTTTTTTCTATCAGGGTTTAAAGGGTTTTTTTTTTTAAGATTTATTTATTTTTACCTGATTTACACAGAGAAGGAAGATTTAGTCATTTATTTTCTTTTAAGATATAGTTTATTATTTTTATTAGAAAGCCAGATTTACAGAGAGAAAGAGAAGGAGAGACAGAAAGATCTTTCATCTGCTGGTTCACCCCCCAAGTGGCCACAACAGCTGCAGCTTAGCTGATCTGATCCAAAGCCAGATTCCAGGAACTTCTTCCTGGTCTCCCACAGGGGTGCAGGGTCCCAAGGCTTTGGGCCATCCTCTACTGCTTTCCCAGGCCACACACAGGGAGCTGGATGGGAAGTGGAGAAGCTGGGACACAAACCAGTACTCATATGGGATGCCGGCAATAGAAGGTGGAAGATTAGCTTGTTCAGCACAACACTGGCTATAGTTTTGGGCTTTGAGGTTTTGGGGGGTTCTTGTTTTGTTTTTGTTTGCTTGCTTGTTTGTTTGAAAGGCAGAGAAAGAGACACACTAACGAAGAGGTGACTGGAGGAGAAACAAAGACAGATCTTTCATCTGTGGTTCATTCCCAAGTGTCCACAATCAGCAGCGGGCACGGCCATAGCCAGGAGCTCAGAACTCAATCCAGGTGTGCATGTATTAGCAGGATGTTAGATCAGAAGCAGAGTAGTGAGGATTCTAACCAGGTACACCACTATGGGACAGAGCCCCCCAACTCACTTAACTACTGTGCCAGACATCACAACACTCCAGCAGTCATTAAAGACCAAAAAAAAAAAAAAAAAAGATGGGTGGCAGGTGGCAGGGAGGCACTTAACCCAACAGGGTTAGGAATAACCTAGGGTTGGGCCTTCCACCTGCACAGGCACTGGAGTGCCTGGTTCCTGCAAATAGAATTCTGGTTCTGCTTCTGACTCTAGCTTCCGGCTGGTGTGCACCCTGGCCGGCAGCAGTGATGGCAGCAGGGGGTGGACCTCCTGCACCCACACGGGAAACCCGGATCAAATTCTGCCCTCTGGGTTGGTCACCTAACCCAGGGCCCAGAGCAGGCATCTGAGGAGTGAACCAGCTGATGGAACAGGTGCACAATAAACAATTTTTTTAAGTGGGTTGGGATAGTGAATAAATTCCACATCCCTTCTAAGGTAGTTTTTGAAGTAGTACTTATATATAATTGTCATATATAGAAGCGGTTTATCACAGAAGCTTTGCATTTTCTTTTAGGTACCTTTTTTTTTTAACTTTGCAAATGGGAAGCAACTAGCAATACCAGGGTAGTTAACACGTGATCCACTTGAAGAAAGGACTCAGGACAGATGGAGCAGGTCCCTTCGTTCTTGGACATAAAACTCCATAAAACCAGCCTGTTTGGGAAGCTGGGCACATGGAGAAACACATCATCTCCCCGGAGGTCAGAGCTGGTGAGGGCTGGCAAACACTGGCCCCTGGGCCAGTCTCCCAATCGCCATGTCTACCTATAAAATGGACGCAAAAACAGTGCCTGCCGCATCATATTGTCTTCAGGATTAAAGACGTGTGTGAAAAGCATTTAGCACGCCACTAAGCGCTCAGTAAAATCTGTCAGTCCTATTTACCACAAAAGACAAGCAGGGCTGCTCCTCACAGACACCCCAGCAGTGCCTCAACTCCTGACAGGAATCCCTTCCTGGGATACAGTCCTCGCTCTCAATGAACTAGCCTCACTCCTGTCTGCCTTTCGCCCACGCGACTCACCACGTTAAAACGTCTCCCATCTACTTGGATGCACTCGCCAGCCTTGCCACAAACTCCCCAGCGAGGTACCAGGTTGTTCGAGAACACCACTCGTCCGCCTCGCCTCCCGCCTCCTCAGGCCACGCGCAAGCTGGCTCCTTCCCGCCGCCACCGCCGCCGCGACCGTCTGCGCAAGCGTGCGGCTGTCCGCGAGCCCTCGGGCCCCGCCCCGGCCCCGAGGCCCCGCCCCGGCCCCGAGGCCCCGCCCCGGCCCCGAGGCCCCGCCCCGGCCCCGAGGCCCCGCCCCCGGCTCGTGCACGTCTGGCCCCGCCCACTCCCCTGCGGCCTGGCAGTTCCCGACCGGCTGCCTGCAGGGCCGCGCTCGGACTCTGCACCCTGCGCCCAGGCCCGCGGGTCCGTGATCGGCTTCCCGAGTGGGCGACGCGCCGGTGGCCTTGTCGAGGCGGAGATGGCTGCCACGCTGCAGCGTATTGAGCAGCTGTCCAGTCGGGTGGTGCGCGTGTTGGGCTGTAACCCGGGTCACATGACCCTGCAGGGCACCAACACCTACCTGGTGGGGACCGGCTCCAGGTAAAGGTCTCCCCTTCCCCCTGGCACACACGCCGGCCGCCAGGATCCCCGGAGCCGCCGCAGCCGCCGGAGCCGCGACGGCTTAGCCCGGGGCGGAGCGCTGCGAGCCCGGCGGCTGGGCCCGAGCCGGGCAGGACCCAGCTCTGCGTACCCAAGCCCGCTTGTGCAAGCTCCGCTCAGCTGTTGCCCCCGGGTGGTAACCTCTGTAACCTAGGGAGAAATCCAGAAAAAGAAGGGCAGTCTCACTGTTTTGAAACCGGTTTGCTTTTGCTTGATAGCTGACGCTCGGGAAACCATGCTTAAATTGTTGAGAAGTTATCCTCTGGGTTAAGAGTCCCAGAAAGTGTTTAAAGGGTTTTTTGCTCAACTCGGTTTGGTTTGGTTTTAGTTTTGTTGGTGTTTTTGCCTGGCATTTCACTTGCTTGCAAGCCTCGGGGGATAGAGTTGAGGGCATTTCCTCAACCAAGCAGCAGAGGGCAGGTCTTCCTTGCTTTCACACTATCTGGGTTCCTGACATGGCCCACACTCCCAGAACGTGTGGGTAAACAGGCTCTGAGGGTAACCGGGTTTCTGTTCACTTGTGTGGCGTCGTTTGGGTAGTTTTGAAGAGGGAGGGACACCTCTGTTTCTAAGAAGCTGCTTTTTCTTTTTCTCTTTTGCCCAAATGCTTCATTAATGAAATTATGCAGAAGTGGGGAGGTATGTTGTACTGCCTAGTAGCCGGGTACTTCAAGTTCGCGGGTGGGTCCACCTGGGGCGCGAACTAGCAGATGCAAGGTGTATGTCTGTCCATTTCTCACTTTCAGACAAATCTTGTACAAATCTTAAGAATAATTAGATTTCAAAAAATGTTCATTTTGGTGCAAAAAAGTTGAAATGTATGCAGGTTTTTTCATGATAGGCATTTTCCCTGGACTTTTTGGAAAGCCTCTGTAATTTTTTTAAAAGATTTATTTATTTGTTTGTTTGTTTGTTTGTTTGTTTACTTGAAAGGCGGAGAGAGAGTGCTTCCTTCCCCCCAGTGAGCCATAAGCAGTGGAGCTGGGCCAGGAGCTTCCTCAGGATCTCTGATGTGGGTGCCACCCTGAGCTGCTTTCCCAGGCTGTTAGCAAGGAGCTGAATCTGAAGTGAAGCAGCTCGGGATCACCTGAACAGACACACTTCAGTGAGGGCAGCAGGCCAGCGTCTCAGGCACCACAGGCAGCGACTTAACCTGCTCGACCGCAGTGCTGCTCTCAAGATCCTGTAGTGAGCAATATCTGTGTAGTACTGGTGCTGGATGATCCCACATATGGACAACATTCAGAGAAAGAAGTTATGTCTGTCCTGAACGTGCACAGACCTTAGATTCTTGTCATTATTCGCTAAACAATACAGTGTAACAGCTATTCTAGTTTAAGGTGATTTAAAATTTATGGGAGGATGTTATAGATAACATGCAAGTACTGTTCCATTCTCTAGAAAGAACTTGAACATCTGAGGATGTGGGTACCTGCACAGGTTCCTGGAACCAGCCCCCTGGGGTCACTAAGGGACAACAGTTTCTATGAAGCCATGAATTTAACTGTGCTGTCAGGATGTGACAACTAATAAAATACAGCTGATTACCAAAAGTACAAGTTGAGGTATGTGCAGTGTTTGCCTTTTTCCAGTAAATGATTTTAGAAGCAGCAGAGTAGAAGTACCGTACACCAGCTAGGCAAAAGGTTAAGTCCAGAGTCAATGAGACATGGCTGAGAAGGCACGTGAACTTTTAAGCTGGCTCCAGAATCCAGAATGATGGAAAATTTGGCAGGAAAAAAAAAAAAAAACCTGTAGGGTGTGTGCCTTGGGTGGAATTCCTGCTACCCAGTATGTCTATAGGCATTCTTGCTTCATTATGTCCTGTTAAAGAAGTTCTGATGTCAGTATCTAAGATAAAAATTGTGTTCAGTCAAAATCACCCTGTGAAATTATAGGAGAATATACAATGTTGTAGATCAATGTGCTTACCGTATCAGTTAAATACACCTGCTTTTCTACCTGCATTGAAACAGATGGCTGCTTCTGTTTAAAGAACCAGATGAAGGAGTTAGTAGGCATTTAGAAGCCATGTTGTATGCAATATACAGGCTGTGTCTTTAAATCACTAGTCACACTTAACATAGCAGAGTGCTTATTGACACTTAACAGATCTGCAGCTGAGTGGAGGAGGAGCAAATTCATGGTCTTGTACTCATAGAAGTTCATGGGGTGGGATGCTCAGTTGGATCACTCGCCTTGCTGAAATTACTTCTTCATATAGTTGAAGTAAAGTCCATGTGATTGAGGTAAATTAATGTGCAAATGATTATGCTTTATTGTATAAAGTAAAAGGTAGTTCAATATTGGGTCCAAGTCAGGTGTGCCAAGTTTGGTATCCAGTGTTTCAACTTGTAATTCAAATTTGATCTTCAGACATGGTAACAGGCTGCTTGCCCAAGTCTCTGCCTGTATGACACACAGCCACTTGCTATGCAGTATTTCCCAAACTGACTTCACAGACATTCCCACTAGACCAATCCTCCACTCAATGGAGCCATCCCGTAGTTGATCAAAGGAATGTCTAAGTTTTCTCCATGGTATTTTTGTTGTTGTTATTATTATTACTTCTTACCACAGATCCAAGCCATTATGAGCATGTCTTCATATCCACAAACACCCAGTCCAAGCCAGCACAACTTTTGCCTGGCCTCCTGCAGAAACCTCATGAATGACTTCTGTATGTCTACATTTGTCCCTCTTCAATTCATGCTCCCCCAAGAAACCAGAGTAGTACTCTCAAAATGGAAGTCAGAAGGCCTTGCTTAGCCACCTCCCCCCGCCTTCTTGGGTTTATCTCAAATCTCTTCCTCTCTTCCACTCCAGCCATGTACCTGGCCGAGAGCTTTGGATGCAGCACAGGTTGTCAAGGAAAGAAATGGGCATTCTCTGTATTTTTCCATTTATTTTAACTATTAGGATTCTAAGGCTGCTGGCTAACTGGTTGCAGCTGGTCTTCATGTTCTGATCCACTCATGGTTGCTAAAGCACTGCTGGACCTACTGTAATGCTTGCTGTTACTACCGAGGTACGCAATGAGCGTTTGATTTAATAGCCAAATATTCTAGGATAGCTCCACATTCCTCTTCCGCTCAAAAACCTCAAGTAGATCCTAGTTTGAGCTTTTCTGTCGAAGTTGTTCATAATTTGGGGGCAGATATTGCATCTGATAATAGCAAAAGGTAGTCTAATGGAGTGGTGTTAAAATTATGACTGAATACCTAAATTAGAATACTGGCTCCTTTTACTAGCTGAATTACTTTGGACAGGACAGTTTTCTCTCTAAACTTCAGATTTAGTAAAATCTAATTTTTAAAAACAGATCAAAAGCACTTAAATTCTAGCATGTGGAAAACATACAAGTTGAGGGTCTTTTTCATCACTTATGCTTTCCACACAACTTCTGGATAACACAAGGTTCATAATTTCTCAGAAAATAACTATTGATTTGATTACAGTAACAGCAAATTGACAGAAATGGCTACCTTGATATGAAGAGGAAGTAGATTCTGTTAACTTTCCATCAGTGGAAGAATTTTCTTCTCCAATCACGTGCCAGATTGTTGTGTGCTCATTATATGTGAGACACTGTGCTCAAGTGAATAAATTGGTCATAGGTCTGTACAGGTCCCTTATACTCTTTTCTTGAGCCTTTTATTAGCATAGCTTGCCTTTGCCAAATGACCTCCTAAAGTACATTGCCCATGGCCATGAAGAGCAAAGCCACACAGCCCACACTGAAATGCTATCATCTACCTAATTTCACATTACAGAGAGAATGACTTTAAAAAAAAACTGAACATATTTTTGGCTACTTTCTATCTTGTATCTGCATTTCATGTATGGTGTGTGAAGAGTGATTCTAGCAGCTTGCCTAACCAGAGAGGCAGTGAGAGTGCCAAGTGGTGAAGTCATTGGGATTTGCAACTGGACGTCGAATGCTTCCCAGCACTGCTGCTTGCTCACACTGTATGACCTGGAGCAAATCAGCCTCTCTGGAAAGTAGCTTCCCTTTCTGTAAACTAAATGATACCTCCCTAGCATTTATATTAAGATTAGGTAATATGGGGCCCGGCGCGGTGGCGCAAGTGGTTAAAGGTCCTCGCCTTGCACGCCCGGGATCCCATATGGGCGCCGGTTCTAATCCCGGCAGCCCCGCTTCCCTTCCAGCTCCCTGCCTGTGGCCTGGGAAAGCAGTCGAGGACGGCCCAAAGCTTTGGGACCCTGCACCCGCGTGGGAGACCCGGAAGAGGCTCCTGGCTTCGGATCGGCATAGCATCGGCCCGTTGTGCTCACTTGGGGAGTGAATCATTGGACGGAAGATCTTCCTCTCTGTCCCTCCTCTCTGTATATCCGCCTTTCCAATAAAAAAATAATAAAAATAAATCTTCAAAAAAAAAGATTAGGTAATATGAAAGATCCAAATCATTTCAGTTGTTACGTCAATTTCAAATATTACCAGTGTGACCTTCCCCCACTCCCCTGACCCCATGCTTGTTCTAGCTACAGCCAGGCAACCCTCTGTTCTGTATCGATTGTGTTTGTTCCAGGACTTCCTCATTTGGAGAGTCCTTTCTTTGCCAAGGCCTGAACAAGGAGGGCTGGGAATTACATTCTGTGTGTCAGAGGCTGACCATCACTCTACCTGCCAGCAGGCATCACAGGCATTCTAAAAGATCTGTTTTCACTTCTAATAGATGTTTACAGAGTTTGTTTATTAACCCTGTTATTTTGTCAACATGGTATGATCTCACCTTTAAAACACTTACATTCAAAAATTTTATAAAGATTCATTCATTCATTCATTTGAAAGGCAGACAGCGTGTCCTCTTGGACTAGTGTGACTGGTCTCTGGTCTCACAAACGACAGTTTAACACTGTACTTCTGAAGTAAATCTGCTACTCCATGGGACATAGGATATAGTTAGAGGCTGTGGGCCCTACAGTCACTGCCCTCTTTCACTGTCAGAGGCCAGTTTGTTTTCATTGGCCAGTTTGTTTCATTGTAGACCTCAGGGAATATCATTAGGGAAACAACCCGCCCAATATAGAACAGAGAGGAGGAAGAAGAAAGAGCTCTTCCATCTACTGAGTCACTCCCCAATTGACCTCAGGTCCAGGAATGGACCAGGGGTCAGAAACTCCAGCTGTGTTCCCCAAGTACATGGCAGGTACCCGAGAACTTGGGCTATCTTATGCTGCTTTCCCCAAATGCATTAGTGGGATCTAGAGATGTAACAGCTTTTCCCATGTAGAATGTGGACATAGCAAGTACCAGCTTAATTTGCTGTACCAGACAGCCCATACTATGTTGTAATGCTGTGAAAAATGCTGCTTTCTGTAACTTTTGTTAATTTTTTTTATCATCACAGCTCATGGCCTATTCTATATAATCTATAAAAACTGATTAATTTGTCAAAATTACACTCTCTTCCAACTTAAATTAGTAAGGTGATACTGTCTCAAACACCATGAATTTAACTTACTAAACTGGTTCTTGATGAAAATGCCACCTTGATGGATTTAGTTCAGGGGAACCTCAAAAAGATAGGCCCCCTCAAAACAGTGAGGAAGGGCAAACAAAGTAGAAGAAAGGTTCAGAACTGCAAGCAAAAAATGAATAAATAGTAAGTGATGAATTGTCTAATAATGAAAGAAAGCAGGGGCCAACATTTTAGCACATCAGGTTAAGCTGCTGCTTACAACATCAACATACTATATCAGATGCTTTGCTTCCTATCCTGCTCCTTGCTAATGTTCCTGGAAAGGCAATAGAAAATGTCTCAGGACCTGGGTTCCCCCCATCCATGCGCAAATCCCAGATGGAGTTGCAGGCTCCAGGCTTCAGCCCAGCCCAGCCCAGCCCAGCCCAGCCCAGCCCAGCCCAGCCATTGCAGCCAATTGGAATCTCTATCATTCTTTCAAATGCATAAAAACAAAATCTTCCAAAGAAGAGAAAACAGTTCAGACATCTCTCCCATGCTTCCCTAAAGCCTTGAAGTTCACATGAAAGAATGACCTTGTAACATGGTTTCTTTAGGAATGCGATTAAATCAAATACTGCCGTATAAATGATAACTTTGGAGACATCCTAAAAGGTTGAGAAGGCAGAACAGATAAAAATACATTACCAATTTCTGGTATCAAGATTCTCATGTTGGAATGTTTATTTTTCCATTTATTTGCAGACAAGTGAACAAGCTACTTAGTTTCTGAATATAAAAACAGAAGATCTGTTTTTATTTGAATTTTCTCAAGGACTTTCCTTAAGATATACCTATTATATCGGGCCCAGCACAGTGGCCTAGCAGCTAAAGTCCTCACCTTGAACATGCCAGGATCCCGTATGGGTGCTGGTTCTAATCCCAGCAGCTCCACTTCCCATCCAGCTCCCTGCCTGTGGCCTGGGAAGGCAGTCAGGGATGGCCCAAAGCCGCGGGCTCCCGCACCCGCTTGGGAGACCTGAAGGAAGTTCCTGGCTCCCAGTATTGGATCAGCACAGCACCAGCTATTGCAGTCACTTGGGGAGTGAATCGTCGGACAGATCTTCCTCTATGTATCTCCTCCCCTCTGTATATCTGACTTTGCAATAAAAATAAATAATTTTTTTAAAAAAGATATACCTGTTATAGTTAAACTAAAGTAATGTACACATATACCTCAAAAAGTTCATGAGAAATGGAATTTCCCGGTAAGCTTATTTTGATGCCAAAATATTTTACATTTTTTTTATATACAGTTCCATAGGCTCTGGGATTTCCCTTAGCCCTCCTCAGCACCCCCCCACTGATTTCCCCTGTATTATTATAATACTATAATAATTCATAAACATCCATAACTTCATCATTCTGCTATTTAAGTGTATCCTGACATTGTAGGCATGGACAATGGCAGAGAGTCCCGTGTCCTATTATCAAGATACATTTAATAGTTTCATTGGAAATTCATCTTTGATCTGGAAGTAGATATGCAAACTGCATTGTATCCTCACATCTGAAAATGATAGCCTCTACTACTTAGTTACTGTACATCCCCATAAATGAAAAGTCACAAAACAAAATCAACAAGCAGTAAAATAGAAATTAACAACACCATAGAGTTAAATAATATGCTACTGAATAATTAATGTGTCCCTGAAGCTATGAAAAAGAAAATGAAGAACCTTCTTGAAGAAAATGATGCTACAGTATGACCTATGGGTCAGTGAAGAATTTAATATGAGAAAAAAAATATTTTGAAGAAATGAAAATAAAAACAAAAATATCAAAATCCATGAGATACAATTTCCTCTGATCTTTGTTGGTGGAATGTGTCTCCTGTAGGCAACAGATAAATGGATTTTGTTTTTTTAATCCAGTCTACTATTCTTGATGCTGAATTGATGAGTTTAAACCAGTTACATTCAGGGTTAATATGGAAAGGTGGTAGTTTGATGCTGTCATTTTAGCCATGGGCTGTTCATTGTTTGATTTAGTCTTCTGTTATTTTACTTGGATGTTTTCCACATTTGCCTTTGGTTTTGGTAGGTGCTATTCCTTTTCTCTATCAAAAGAACATATTTATCATTTGTAGGGCAGATCTGGAAGAGACATATTCTTTGAGCTTTTCTTTACTGTAGAAGAATTTTATTTCATTTTCAAAGACAAAGGAAAGCTTGCTGGGTACGTTATTCTGCGTTAATAATCTTTTCCTTTTAGAATCTGGAATATGTCACTCCATTCTCTTCAGGCCTATAGCATTTCCTCCAAGAGGTCAGCTGTGAGTCTGATTGGAGTTCTTCTATATGTCAATTGCTTTTTTTTTTTCCACATGCACATTTAAGGATCTTTATGTTCGAATGAAGAGAGCTTGATTGTCATGTGTCACAATGAAGACTGCTTTCAGTGGATTGTAGTTGGCGTTCTATGCCCCTCCTGTATGTTGTTTCCCAATTCTTCCTCCATATTAGGGAAGTGCTTTACATCTTTAAACTCAGCTTCTCTTTCTGTACCTTCTGGGACTCCCATAACTCTTATATTTGGCCTTTTAATGGTGTGTCTTCATTCTTGAATACTTTTTTAAAGCTTGACCCAACTCTGCTTCCAGCTTTTTGATTGTTTCACCATTGTGACAGAAAAATATCTTCCAATTCTGAGTTTCTTCTGCCTTTCTGTTCTTGAGGCTTTCATTTTTAATGTGCTCCATTATGTCCTTTATTTCCAATAATTCAGCTTGATTTTGTTTCAGTGTTGCTAATTCCTGTGTGACATATTCCTTAAGTTCCTGTATGTGCTTCTCACTGTTGATAAAAAAGCTTTGTAACAAGTTTTTACATTCTTTATCCCCTATTTCCTTGATGTATTCCTCAGTTAACTCTGAAGTTGGCAAGAGCTTTTCCTCCTTTGCAGTGGAGTCTTCAGTAAAATTCATTGTGCCTCTGTTTCCTTTTTTGCTCTTGGTCATCGTACTTCTAGTTAACAGATTCTTCTCTTTAGGCAGGATTCTAAGTTGTGTCACCCACAGATCTATAGTTTTTTATTTGGTACCCAGTTCTTCATTTTTAGTTGCTTGTGCCACTCCCTCCAATGAGTTTCAGGTCTGGGCTCTTATATTAGACTTCCACCACAGTCTCCACTATATAAAGCTTTTAAAAAGTTCATCTAATATGCACATCATATTACCAAGTAGCCCCAGCTCCTGGCTTACTACTCTCTACTTCCTTGTGATCCCATCCTTTGTCTGCACTGTGGCCTGTACTTACTTACTCCCACTCACTCCCACTTCCAGTTTGAGCATTCTCCGGATTAGGGAGATGCCAGGTATCCTAAATAGCTGGGTTATTGGTGATGCTGATCTTGCCAGAACCTGTTGGCCATTACATCTGAGGGTCATTTGGACCTATTTTATGTGAGATCTGTAGGATGCCAAAATTGGTACCATGCACAGTACACTATTGTTCCTCCAGTTCCACAGCCTTTACCATAGTGTGCAAAATGGCTTCTGGCATGGCACTGGTGGAATTCTGGATCTGCTGACCATTAGGTCTGGGGGCTACACAGACCTATATTGGATGAAACCTATAGGATACCACATCAGTACTGTTTTCCCTGTTGGACCAATACAATGTGCTGAGCTGGAAATGAGTTCTCTCCTGGATTAGCTCATATACAGCTTGCTGTTGTCCTTCCAGTCCCACAGCCTTTACTTCAATACACAAAATGGTACCTAACGTGACACTGGTGGGAGTCTGGACTGTGAAGTAACCCTGTTCCTGCACCATCTGCTTGGGGTCTCCTGCTTTGTTTGCTCCTGGTCAAATCAAACAAAGCATTAAGACAGGCAGTTCTTTGCCTGGGTTCACCTCCTGAGCTTCTGGTGAACTCCCCTTCCCACCTGACTATAGGTGGAGCTCGTATTTCCACTTGCTGATTGGTGCTGGGATATCTGATCATGGCATCACCACTCCATGTCTCTGCTGCTTCCCCATATCCATCAGTCTCCAGGTGCCCCTCTTCCACTGTCCTGTCCTCTCCTATTTCCTGGAATCTGCTCTATATGCTTCACCCTGACTGATGATTCTCCATCTCTTTAAATGTGTCCTTGCCCTATTCCACCATCTTGATCCTTCCATAGTTGCCAAAATATTCCAATCATGCGTAGTTTCTTCATGATGTGCATATTACATGAACTTTTTTAAAGCCTTATATAGCTGATTTTTGAGCATGTGCGAAGCAAAACTAGGTATGAATTTTGTTAAATTTGAAATAAATTATCTATGTGAGAATTATGCTAATATTACTCTGTTCCAGTTGTGTGATTCTCTTCCATTTAATTTTCAGGAGAATCCTCATTGACACTGGAGAGCCAGCAATTCCAGCATATATCAGCTGTTTAAAGCAGGCTCTGGACAAATTCAACACAGCAATCCAGGAAATCATAGTGACTCATTGGCACCCGGATCATTCTGGAGGCATAAGAGACATCTGTGAAAACATCAGTAATGGTAAACATAAAATATCCAATAAGCTCATTAAGGAAAGCTAAGTGTGGGGTATTAATTATTTCATTTACAAAGCTAAATAAGCCATGAACCATTTACTAAATAACTTAAATTTTACTTGTAAAATTTTATGTGACTCATATACTGTCTCAGTTTTAACAAGGGAGGAAAGGAAGAGTTTCACATTTTGTTCCAAATCCCTATCTACTTCCAGCTGACGCATTTTCCCAGTGATGAAGGCATGTTTAAGCTTAATCAGTATACAGTTACTGCTTCAATTTTTTTAAAATGTTTATTTTAACTTTTTAAATTATTATCATCATTCTGTGATACAGTTCTATAGGCCCTGGGATTTCCCCTGCCCTCTCCCATCCTACCAAATTCCCCTATATTATTACTATAGCATAGCTCTTCATAAACAGTCACCTGTTTATCATTGCAGACATGGACAATGGCAGAGAGTCCAGTATCCTACCGTCAAGATACAGCTAATAGCTTCATTAGTATCCATCTTTGATCTGGAAGTAGAGATGCACACTGCACTGTATCCTCACATCTGGACATGATAGTTGTCATTACACAGTCACCACATATCCCTCTTAAATGAAAAGCTACAGTACAAAATCAACAACAGGAAGAAAAATAGAAATTTACAATAGCATGAAATTTATCAAGAGTTTTTCATAGTTCAACAGTCCTGAATTGTTGGCAATCCCACCACTCCAATCACGATGAAAGCTCTTCTGAATTCGCTGGCTGCTATAGTCCACCTTAGCATCTCCATCCGCCCAGATATTCACTACCAACAATTGGCTGGGGTATTTGATAAATTTGTTCTGTCCTCTATCCTCTGCCATGGTATCAGGTGTCCTCTGGAGGCTCCAATGGACTGCTGCCGGAGACCAGCTCCAGCTGACTGAGAGCTTGCAAAGGATGCGTGGATTGGCGAGATGATAGGAAGAGACAAGACACGGACCACTATGGCTTGATGCTCATAATGGACAACTCAGCAAAGTTGCCTTCTTTATTTATACATAAATCATCACAAATTTTGCACAACATCCAATTGTTTCATTTTTCATTACATCATGGTTATGAAAATGCAAGAAGCAATCCTAAAAAATATTTTTCTATTTCAAAGAAAACATTCTTAACAAACCATTACTCATTGAAACCTGCAATCACCTGGCTGAAGCCAGGAACTCCACGGTTGGCAGCACATGCAGTTACATAGTGACAAGTAGTTTACTTATATTCAAAATCAATTTTTACTAAACACAAACTAATATTGATTAAAATATTAATACAGAATTAAAAGATCATGAATGAAAGGATTTTCTAAAAGCATATAACATAGATTCCTTGCTAAATCTTATAATCAAATCATGCATTAATTACGATCACCTTCACCTAGTGCTGATTCAATTGTTTTTTTTTTTTGTAAAGATTTATTTTATTATTTTTTTAATTGGAAAGGCGGATATACAGAGAGGAGAGACAGAAAGGAAAATCTTCCTCTGATGATTCACTCCCCAAGTGAGCGCAATGGCCGATACTATGCCAATCTGAAGCCAGGAGCCTCTTCCGGGTCTCCCACGCAGGTGCAGGGTCCCAAAGCTTTGGGCCGTCCTCGACTGCTTTCCCAGGCCACAGGCGGGGAGCTGGAAGGGAAGCAGGGCTGCCAGGATAGAACTGGCGCCCACATGGGATCCTGGGCATGCAAGGCGAGGACCTTAACCACTGCGCCACCGCACCAGGCCCTGATTCAATTGTTTTTTATTCTTTTGTTAAAGGGCAGTGAAAGGGATCAAGGCAGCTCAGCCAATCTACAAACAGAGGGCCTTTACAAGAAACTTTCTTTCATCTATATAAACTGTTTTCTTTCCCTAAATATAAGTAACAATATAAGATAAAGATTTTAAACCATTTTGAGGGGGTTCACATTTATTTCCTTATAAAAGATGCCCCATATACTTTTGCTTTCTGTGGTTAAGAAACTAAAATGTGTCATATCATGTGTTGTAACAGTTAGAGGTGCATAGTAAACAAACGCTTTGTACCTCCATGATTGCCATCTGTTGCAAGATATTATCAAGCCATTTCTTAAGGAAAACATTCCTTATACTAAGGCAAGCTTTAGGACAAAAGTGGGCACATAACAGGATGTTTGGAAACATAGTGGGCTCAATTATACTATTGTATACTTTTAGCTGTGTGTCATAGCCTTACTGTTACTAAAGGTATTTTTATCATAACATGATTGATCAATTTGAGGTGTCATACCAGTAACAGGAATCATTTCACATTAGCAGAAAAACAACAACACCTTCAAAAGAATTCTATGAAACATCAGAGAGGTGATTGAGTTCCATACAATGGGTGAGGCAGCAATGAGGTGACCAGAGACATTCTGCCGGGCCTTGCCTCGCTGCTAGAAACTCTTTGCCTTGCTAACTGAGGAGCGGTGCTCATCACACACCCATGCCATGTGACCCAACTGCATGGCTCCCCACAGACTGCCATATCCTCCATGTACATTTGGATATGCTGTCCTCTGCTCCATCTGAGCCGCTGAGGAGACCCTGCTCTGACACATCCACTCCCACAGTCCATGGAACCTGCAATTCTTTCCATGGTTAGGGTTCTAACTCCAGCAGCTCAGTTGGTAGGGAATTGCCAAAGAAATTCATCTGAGGCCATCTCAGAACTAATTCTTGTTTGTGTTTGCTAATATAGTGTCTGGCACAGCCTTTGCACACACTGGTAGTTGCAGTTGCTGGGTCAGTTCTGTCTCCAGCCCCATGTTTTACACAACCCAATGGGTGTTAGAACCCAACCCGATCCTGCCCATCACATACTTAGCCTTCACGCAAACCAGTAGGGGCTGCATTTTAGTCGGAGCCACCCACAAAAACCCCCCACCAGGCCAGCCACTGCCCTGGTTCCCATGCTTGCCAGTACAGCAGACTGGTCCCGACCAGTTCGTCCCAACCAGCCCCACTATCCATTCCACACTGATGGCAGCAGGTGCCACCAACTGTCTAAGCCATGCCTGCACCTGACAGAATTTGGCCCCTGTGCTAGCATCTGCCCGCTGATGTTTCGGCAAAGCCCAATCAATCCACACTGACATGTAACGATTATCAGAACTGTAATTTAAAAAATGGGAAAAAATTCCACACTGAAACCAGCTTATGCATGTACTAGAAGGTACACTCAGCCCAGCCTGACTTTTCCCCAATTCAGCTCACATGCAGGCCATTGGATATGGCCCTGCCCAGCCTGGTCTGCCCCCATCCCAGCTCTCATGCTCACCAGTGGGAGTGGTGGCCCAGAAGGAGGGCCCTCACTGGGGCCACCCAAGCACTTGTGAACCACATTTCTCTGCTTTCCCAGGCACATTAACAGGAAGTGAGATCAAAAGTGGAGCAGCCAGAACTCAAACCAACACTTCAATATGGGATCCCAGTGTTAACAGGTGGTGGCTTAATTCATCACACAACATTGACCCCCAAACATACTTTGAAGGTTGAAAATCCTACCTCTGGCTTTGGGACTCCCTTCTAGCACTCAGAGCAAAGCCCTTTTCCTAGCAATCCTTTGCTTTTAGCTACTGTACTGGCTTCTTTACTCTAAGTCAGGCACTAGATGGAGACAAGTTTCCTGCTTTGTGTCACAACCTCAATAACGCCTGATGTCATCAACATCTAATGTGAATGGCTTTCAAATTTTGTGTAGCAAAGGATTCACTAAAGAAACACAAGGCTTTTATATAAGCCTAGAGAGGCATGACAGAACAAAAAGCTCTTTTATTGAAGAATATGAAATAGTCCTATCCCACAAAAAAAAGCTGCTGTAACTCACCCACTTTCTATTGTCTCTTAGTACTTTACATAGTCATGTGCAAGTATTAACTGTAAAAATTCATTTCTTAAAAGGCTGAATTATTGTTTAATGTATGACTTTATTTATTTTATGTTTTATGACCAGATTCTGCCTATTGCATTAAAAAGCTCCCACGGAATCCTCATAGAGAAGAAAAGATAGGAAATGGAGAGCAACAATACACTTATGTGAGAGATGGAGATGTGATTAAGACTGAGGGAGCCACACTAAGGTAAGTGAATGTCCCTTAGCTGGGTAAGGCAAGGGCCCATGTGCATGTCGTATCAAAATGGAGACAGGACTGATCTATTAACATTTGGAGTTTTTTAAGATTTATTTTATTTTTATTAGAAAGATACATTTTCAGAGAGAAGGAGATACAGAGAGGAAGCTCTTCTATCCACTGGTTCACTCTCCAAGTAGTCACAATGGCCGGAGCTGAGCCAATCCAAAGCTAGAAGCCAGGAGCTTCTTCAGGGTCCTAAGGTTTTAGGCCTTCCTCTACTGCCTTCCTAGACCATAAGGAGGGACTGGATTGGAAGTGGAGCAGCCGGGACTAGAACTGGCACTCATAAGGGATCCTGGTGAGGCAGGGATTTAGTCACTGAGCCATCATGCCAGACCTGATTTATTTACATTTGTACATATAGAGAATATCTTAGGAAGGGGACAAGAGAAACACAAAACAAATCTGGTACCATCATTTACTCCTGAAAGAGAAAAGAGACTGCTTGAGAAATGGATAAAAACCTTTCACCCTATAAGCCTTTTGGCTTGTTTGCTTTGGAGAATTCCGTATGTATTTATTTAAAAGGCAGAGTGACAGAGAGAGGTAGGAAAGAACTCTTCCATTTACTCCATACTCCCCAAATGCTGACAGCAGCTGGGGCTGGACAAAGCAAAAGCCAGAAGCTCCCATCAGGTCTCCCATTCGATAGAAGACAGGGCACCTAGCCACGGATACATCCTGTGTGTTCCTGCCTTTGCTCATCCTCCCTGTTAGCAGGTATCGCCCCGTCGCCCCACCTGTCTCCCTGATAAATTCCTGTCTGTCTTTACTTCAGGACCCAGCTCATACATTACTTCCTTCAGAACCCTTCCAGAGCAGAATTAACTACTCCCTTTCTCCTCTAACTTTATATCCTCTGACTTTTATTATTTCATTATGACAGTTATTAAATTGTATTGTGGGATTTTGTGTGTATATGTTAGGGAGAGGAGTAGTATCAGTGTCTTCTTAAAAAATAATCAGTTCCTTAAATTCACATGATTAGTTAATGCCAGTTGCTATGGCAGATCAACTCAAATGAAAAAAAAAATGGCTCAAACTTGAATACATTAATTTTTTAGATACATCAAGTCCCAAAAAGTGCCTGGCATGGTAGTCTAGCGGCTAAAGTCCTCACTTTGCACATGCTGGCATCCCATATAAGCACTGGTTCCTCTCCCAGTGGCCCCAATTCCCATCCAGCTCCCTGCTTGTGGCCTGGGAAAGCAGTTGAAGACAGCCCAAATCCTTGGGACCCTGCTCCAAAGTTGGAGACCCAGAAAAGGTTCCGGGCTCCTGGCTTCAGATTGGTGCAGCTCCAGCCATTGTGACCACTTGGGCAGGCAATCAGCGGACGGAAGATCTCCCACTCTCTCTCTGCTCTCTGAACATCTGACTTTCCAATAAAAAAATAATAATAATAAAATAAAATCCCCCCAAAGCTTCTGATTAACAAGAGGCTCTCCTGCAAGTCGCGACTAGGATTCTTCAATTTCATCATTCCACCTGCCTCAGCATTTGCCTTTCAACATGGTCCTGCTCACCTCCATCCATCCATCAGGTAACATCAAACACGGAAGGTTTACTGCACGGGGCATTGACATATTCCAAGCCTTCTGTTGCATGAGCTGCCAGTTTATCTGTGTGCCATTCCTAGCAATAGTTGTGCCCTGGAAAAATAGAAAATGGGTTTAGTAATTTGCTAGGCTTTTTCTGAAACAAATACATGAAAGAATCAGTGCATGGCACATACAAGGCACTTAATATTTAAACTGGATGTAGTAATTTTCTATAAAGAAGTAAGGAGGTAAACAATTGAATGAGAAAGTGAAAAACGCAGCAACAGATCTCTGTGTCCTCTTTCCAATAACCAGTTGCATCCTCTCCCAACTATGCCAATAATTGACAAAATGTAATTTATATATCAGCTATTATCTGGGAAGCTTAAAAAATACTCTTGTTGAAAATATAATATCATTTAATAGAATTTGCTCATAATACCAAAGAAATACAAACATTAGTACTTCTTCAAAAAGTATTCTTAATGGTACTGAATTCTTTCAATAGCTTACCAGCCCTGGGCCAAATGAATGACAGGGGTAGATGCAATAGGTGATTCATTGAGTGTTCTACCTCAAACATTTAGGGATTATAATACTGGCTAATTAATCACGGTTATCACAGAGTCATGGCTATATGCAGATAAGACACCCACATCTCACACCAGTCTTGGTTTCCATACCCACATTCAGCTCTTGACTTGTGCTTGCTGCTCAAGTAAACCCCAAGAGGCAGCAGTGATGGCTCAAGCATGTGGCTCTCTAGCATCCACTTAGGAGACCTAGATTGGAGTTTCTGGCTTCTGGCTTTGACCTGGCCCAACCCTGGTCATTGCAGTATTTGAGGAGTGAACCAGTAGATGGGAACTCTATATGTGTGTCTGTTTCTCAAATAAAAGAGGAAAAAACAAAAGGAAAGAAGGAATAAATATGCAGCTTTTGCAAGGTAACTGCCAGTGAGGTGAGCACAACCACATTTTCTAAAACTGTTTTAAAGCATAATGATCTTTTATAAAGTAAACTCACTGGATGAGCAGCACTCAAGTGACGAAACAAAGCCATGTCAGTGTCTACGGGATCCTCATCCAGCTTCCTGTCTCTACCTCCTCCCAAGGATTTCAACATTATCTGAATTCTATTCACATTTTACTGTATTCTAAGATAAACATGAGAGTCTATTTTAAGACATAGACAAGCCAAGAAAAAATAAAATATAATCATACATACTCTAAAAATGCCTATTTGTAAATAATCCTAAAATATAAATGCTACTTATGATAAAAACCTTAATAGAGCATTTACTTCCCTTTTGGCCATAAATCCAGTTTCCATTTTTATAAGGCCACTTAAACCCAATTCTAAATATTAACGTCAAGACCTGTTAAGCAAAAATTTCATATATAGAAGGTTAAAATTCGCTGCAGTCTTCAGGTATTCATTGTCCAGCTGGTCTTGTCTACTTGCCAGCCTCGCAATAGAGGCAGAAATAATACCCAAGAACCATGTCAAAAGTAGAAATCCACAAGTTTTTCAGTACAAATTTGATTCCATTATGACTTTCAGGAATTTTCTAATGAACCAAGTTTAATTTCTTGGAGAAAACATCTGGCAGCTTTTGTTAGCCATCATGAAGCTTGCAGGACACCTATCCTGTAAAAATCTACCCAGTGACAAAAGTGGCAGAACTAGATGAGTTCTCTGCGTGATGAATGGGAAGGCCACAGCTGCATTTTCTCTAATGTTTAGCAGAATACCTCTGATGCCATTTGCTTTTGCCTTCTGCCTATTCAAGTTCAATTTTTACACAGTTTTATGCAAAGGAAGGCATTAGCCAGCCTGGTAACTGAAGAATTGCACTTTCCGATGCCCTACTTTAAGACATTTTATGGCCATCAGCCTAGAAAAATATCAAAGAAAACCATTACTGAATTCTGGTGTGGTTGGAGGAAGAGCAGATAACGAAGGAGTCATTGCAAGCGTGTTGACAGGTTTGCAGACTGTAAAAGAATGGCACTCCAAATGAGTTTGCGTAGATTCAAAAAAAAAAAAAAAGAAGAATGGAGTTCTGTTTGTTAATGCATTCTATGTGCTCACAATTTTATTCCTAAAATAGGGCACACACCCATATGCAGGTATATAATTTAAACTTGGCTGGCAAACTATCTCCTGGAATTATTTTCATACAACACTGAATACTTTTATTATCAGGTTGCAGCATGTTTAATCAGACAAAAGAAATGATTCCTAACAGCTCTTTAATACCTCACCAGCAGAGCAACTATAATATAGTAATTGTTTGCAGCATATAAAGCACGAACTTGGCAACCATAAAAGCATAGCAGTTCTTACTGTAAGGCACTGGCCTTTCAGACATAATTGCTCTCATTATGCTAATACCTCCCATTCTCATAACTTACATGTAATACTTCAGTGGTTTTTTTTTTAAAGCTGTTACAGTTTCAGTATTTAGAAAAAAATGTGAATTTTTCTTGTCATAGGAGAAATTCTTCAGAGTTATAATCATTTCAAATTCTCTTAAATATTCCCTTTAAAGAGCTGACTTTTGTTAAATGTCTTTTCAGTAGCTAGGGAGAAGGGCTTGTGAGTGTTCTCCATAGTTTTATTACTATTTTCAGGAAATCTTGTAAAACTGAGACACCTGTATCTTTTTAAGATTTACTTTATTATTTTTATTGGAAAGTCAGATTTACAGACCAAAGAAGAGAAAGACAGAAAGATCTTCTATCCTCTGGTTCACTCCACAAGTGTCCACAACAGCCAGAGCTGAACCAATCCAAAGCCAACAGCCAGGAGCTTTTTCAGGATCTCCCACATGACAGCAGGGTCCCAAGACTTTGGGCCATCCTCTACTGCTTTCCCAAGCCACAAGCAGGGAGCTGGATGGGAAGTGGAGCAGCCAGGATATGAACTGGCGCCTATATGGGACCCTGGCAGTTTAAAGTCTTCAAGGCAAGGACTTTGGCCACTAGGCTATGATGCTGGGCCCACTTGCACTTTCTTAATTTTATTGTTCATGTTGTGACAATTCTTGAGTGCGGTATTTTTTTTATTCTCTTGGTTAAAAGTGTGGGTTAGTATTTTATGCTAATATTAATGAAACTGAGCAATGTATTACGATTCTACAGACAGAAGAGGGGAAGGAGATTTATTAGTAGAACTGCTCAAATAATTACAGAGCCTAAGAAGTCCAGTGTAGGCCATCTGTTGGGTTGAGAGCCTGGAAAGCTGGTGGCACAGCTTGGTGAAGTCCCAAGGTCTCCAGATCATGGAAGCTGACAGTGCAGCTCCAGTTCATGGCCAGAGGTCCGAGGACTAAAGCAGGGGGCTTGGTGATAGAGAAAGTGTCATAGTCTGGGAACCCAGACCGGGAAAGGAAAGATGTCTTCACTCCAGCAGTACTAAAAGACAGAAAGATTTTATGTTTCCTCTGTCCATTTGTTCTACCTGGAAATCTAGCCAATTAAATGATGCTGGATCTTCAAATATTTGTTCACTATCAAGGCACCACTCTCCTCTGGCTTTCAAAACAAATAAATAAATAAATAGTTATTATGTATTTATATTTTTATATTTATATATTAAGATTTTATAAATATTTATATTTATGAATATACAAATTATGTTTGTATATTTATATAATATGAATATATAAGTAAACTTTTATACATATGTATGTATATGTATATGTATATATATATATGAATATGACAATGGGCAAACTTTTATGAAAGGAAGCCATGACAAAAGATAGAAAAACCACTGGGACTGGGATTTTTGCATCGAGGGAAAAGGCTTATTTTTTTTTAAGATTTATTTTATTTTTATTGGAAAGTCAGATATACAGGCAACTTCTCTGACAAGGGCAAATTTAGAGCTAAGGAGTGGAACTGGAGGGTGTGCAGAGAGTCAGTTGGATGGGCAGTCACTACAAGGAAGCATTAGGAACCAACCAACTTTACAGGATGATTGCTGCAGGCAGGTGTGGGCAACACAGATGCCATGGGTAGGGGATTTTCCCTAAACTGCCTTAGCAAGATTCTTGTTCCAACTGGATTCTACCAGCTCAAGATCAAGCCTAATCGCTATAGAAGGAGTAAGTTTTCTGTTCTTTCTTAGGGTCCTTGACTGTCTGAAAATAAAGTTAACAAAGTTTAACAAGGGATAGAAGTGGTAGGGAGACATACAAATTATTTCATGCATCTTATATGTCACATGAGTCTTCAGAAATAAAAGAGTCAAGGAAACAGAGTCTATATTTATATGTGAAGTTTGAAGAGGTGGATGCTAGTAGAGAGGGCAAAGTGGTCAAAAGCTGTGATCTGATGGTCATTTCCTGGGAAGCGGAGGGGTAATAGGGGTGAAGAGGGAAGATCTTGGGGAGTCCTACTTCTGTGGATCCCCCTGTGTCCATGTTTTCGGAGATCAAGATTTCTTTTTGCTGGGCATCTTACATGAGCGTCTTCTGATGTACTTCAGAGGAAGGACAAAACATTCTCTCTTGTTCCATGACCTGGTTCAGGGCAGAGACTCTGGGAGACTTCCTTGCTTTTGCAATTTTCTCAAATTCCTCAGTTTTCTCAAATTCCTTCAGTTCAAAGCATTCAGTATGGCCAGGTGCCATATTGACATGTGGTGAATCGGGCAAGCCTGACTATACTTTAGTCTAAGGTGTGCATCCTTGTCAATCCCAACTAGGCTATTCCAGTCCTAGATTGTATCTTTCAGCCGTAGAAGTTTTTCTTAAAGTTGGCTGTTTTCTCATCTTGTATTCTGTGCCATTTCCTAGAGTTCCTGTTTCTAGAATTCTGATACACATCATTTTTTCCCTTTTATTTTCTATCATTTTGTCTTTTTAAATATTCTTTCTGGGAGAATTATTATTAATTTTTCTCTTATTCTTACTGTGTATTCATTTCTTCCCCCTGCCCCCAGTTTTAATTTTCCAGAGCTCTTTTCAATTCCTTAAATGTTTCTTTTATTCTAGCCAGGGTTTTTTGTTGTTGTTGTTGTTTGTTTCATAGTTGCAATTTCTTCTCTTATCTCACTGAGGCCATTATAATATTCCTGGTTTGGGTTTTGGGTTTGGAAAAGTTCCTTGCTTGTAATTTGTTGCCTCCAAATTCCTTTGTTTGCTTGTTTTTTTTCCCCTGCCTCTGATGTTCTGGGCGTGCCTAGTACTCCTGATTATCTTCTAACATTTCCTAATTGTCTTCTATTGGAAACTACAGAGCCATCATGAGCTCTCAGAATGTGAGAGAGGCTTTGTGTAGATTGTGCACCTGACTATAGAGTAATCTGGATGAACTTAATTGTCCAGCATTGACATCTTCAAGGCCTTCCTGCTGAGCTGGTAGCACAACTTAGAAAAGATTCCTAACCTGTTCATGAGGCAAAGGCCTGCCAGACAGCATCGTGGAAGCTGAGTGTGGAAAGACAGCTTGGGGAGACACACATGTTTATGTGATCCAACTCCTCCATCAGTGTTTTACCCTCATGAAAGCAGATTACATCTGGCCTTTCCCTCAGTGGGACTGGGGGCACTTGTCCAACTGCTCACAATGGCAAGGGAATCTGGTGATCTGCATGTTAATTAAACAGATTTTGATCCTTGTGTTTTCTGCCATTCTCCCTTGCCCCCAATCCTCTGCTCTTCATTTCCAGGTTCCTGATACCCCAATGTTGACATTTTGTGGAATTCTGCAGTATAAATTTGTTTCATTCTCAGCTTTTCCCTTACCAGTTTAAATTCGGTTTTCAGCCATCTCCTGTCACTCATATTTCTTTCTCTTACTTTTTGATGATGTAATCTCTTTTCCCATCCTTCACTGGTAATTTTATTAGTGTTTTAGAAGAAAAAGAGATGGAAGATTGTGCAGTCTACTATTCTAACCATAAGTCTGTGTTCAATTCCTATGTAATAAATACAAATATGCAATTATATTTCCCCCAAACTCCCAAAATATCCCATTATTACCAAATTGTATTATAAATATTCTAGGCCTGCTGCCTACAGTTTTAAGCCACCTGGTTATGTGGTCATCCTGAATCAGAGCATTGGTTTGAATCCCAGCTGCTCAACTTATTTTTTAATACAGATTTCTTTATTTATTTATTGGAAAGGCAGATTTACAGAAAGAAGGAAAGACAAAGGGAAAGATCTTCATCCATTGGTTCACCACCCAAATGGCCCCAGCAGCCAGAGCCAAGCTGGTCCAGAACCAGGAGCTTCTTCCAGGTCTCCCACACAAGTGCCGCGCTGCTTTCTCAGACCATACACAGATACCTAGATAGCAAGTAGAGCATCCAAGAATACAGGACAGGAACTGGTGCCCATATGGGATGCTGATGCTTGAAGGCAGAGAATTAGCCAATTGAGTTTCTCAGATAAATGTTTTAAAAAAATATTCTAGGCACATAAAGTATTGTGAAACTCATAAAATCCCTGAATATAATGCCTGGAACTTAGCAATATATTTCTAAAAGTAACTACTACTAAGTGGCCAACACTGGGAATATGAAGAAAATGACAGTCTTGTCCTTCAGAAACTCGTAACCTTGTAAGGCAAACTGGTAAACAAAGAAGGAAATAATGGGAAACCTATATAAAAGCAATGTAATCCGAAGCACAAGAGTATAACTGGAACCAGGGTTGTGAGGCAGAGGGGATTAAGCTTCTTCTTGCAATGCACCCTATATTGCAGTACATCCTATATTACAGCACAGGTACAGGTCCTGGCTACTCTGCATCCAGTGCAGTTTCACTAGATAATACCCAAGTACTTGGGTCCCTGCTGCCATGTCCTTTCTGCTACCAAGAAGGAATTGTAGGCTCCTGGCTCTGGCCTGGCCCAGTCCAGTGACCAACCATCTTGGAAGTGAACCAGCTGATGGAGCATGCTCTCTGTCATTCCCTGTCTGTTGCTCTGCCTAAATAGATTAGATAATAATAACAACAATAATAATAATACCAAGCTAAAAAATTGCCAATACAAAGCAGCAAGTCTGAGAAATCAAGAGATGCTTTTCAGAGCAAATTACTTAAACAATGTTCTTTGCTTAAGTATAATTATAAAATAAATGTAAGTAAAAATAATTCTTCAAATAATTGTCATACTTTAAAATTACTAGAATCAGTTTGCTGAAGAAAAAACAGTGAAAAAGAGTAACAGAAATTAAAAATATGCTGATTTTTTTAGATTGATTTATTTCTTTGGAACCAGTGCCACGGTAATAGTCTAAGCCTGCACCTGCAGCACTGGCATTCCATATAGGCACTGGTTCATGTCCCAGCTGCTCCACTTCTGATCCAGCTGCCTGCTTATGGCCTGGGAAAGCAGCAGAGGATGGCTCAAGTCCTTGGGCGTCTGTACCCACATGGGTGAACCGTAAGAAATGCCTGGATTTTGGCTTCAGATCAACTCAAATCAGGCCATTGAGACCATTTGGAGAGTGAACAAGCACGTGGAAGATATTTGGTATTAAAATAAGACCACAGCTTTGTTTTTAAATATAAAGTTGCATAGAAAAAATTTAATATGTATTCCTAAATAATAAAAGCACCTCCCTGGGGCAGTTGATATGACTGCTAACTTAATTACCTGTGCTTTCTTTGATTTCCAAATTGGTGGTCCAAAGTGCTTATGTCTTGTCCCAAAAAAGTTTGAAAAACTTAAATTTCCATTTTCAAAGTGTTCAATTTGGTTTGACTAAAGAATTTTTTTAATGTATATTCAAAAGTCTGAGTGATACAGACACAGAAAGGCTGAGGTATAGAGAGAAGTATCTTCCATCTGCTGATTTATTCCCCAAACAGCCGCACCAATTAGGCTGGACCAAGCTGAAGAAAGAAACCTGGAACTCCCACATGGGTGGCAGTGATCCAGGTACTTATTCCATCTTCTTCTTCTTTCCCAGGTGTGTTAGCAGGCAGGACCCAACTAATTTTTCTATCATGGCATGCTGTCATTGCAAGCAGCAGCTTCACCTACCATGCCACCATGATGGCCCCTAAAGATGGAGAATTTTATGATATGATTTTTAGTAGATACAAAGAAAAAGAAGCTTCTAATACCACTTGTGTCTTATCCAGAAGAAAGGATAAAGAATAATTTTCAAAATTTCTTCTAAGCCCAAGCATTCATAATTGTTATTCTCTTCCTTCTTCCGCAGAGTTATATACACGCCTGGCCACACGGATGACCACATGGCTCTGCTCCTGGAAGAGGAAAATGCTATTTTTTCTGGAGATTGCATCCTTGGGGAGGGAACAACTATCTTTGAAGACCTCTATGATTATATGAAGTCCCTAAAAGAACTATTGAATCTCAAAGCTGCTATCATATATCCAGGTGAGGAATTTTAAATTCTTTCAAACTGTTGAGTCAAATGATGGGAAGAGCTCCTGTTCAAATAGGCTTGACTCTACTAGGATATATATTCAGCCTTGGAAGTATAAATGTGTGTAAGCTAGTTCTTTCAATGACACCACTGAGTCTTATCTATCCACACATATAACCAAAGGGCCAATAGTTAACATTATTAACCTTCTTTAGGAGTCAGTTCTATGGCACAGGAGATAAAACCACCACCTGCAGTGCTGCAATTCAGGTCCCAGCTGCTCCACTCCTGATCCAGTTCCCTGCTCATGTGCCTGAGAAAGCAGCAGAGGCTAGCCCAAGTGCTTGGACCCCTACATCCACATGGGAGAGCTGGAAGAAGCTCAGGCCAGCCACTGTGGCCATTGGGAGAGTGAACCAGCAAATGGAAGATCTTTCTCTGATTCTCCCTCTCTCTGTGTTTCAAGCAAATACATAAATTCTTTTTAAAAAAATTTATGAAGATAGGATTATTTTCAACATCTGTACAGGTTTAATAGCACTGCTAAAAGAAATAAGCTTATACTGCAACAGGAACATAGGAACATCTTTTCCTCCCATCAACCAAAGTCTCTTTTGTTACCCTGCTTCCTGTTCTGGACCACATGTTAGCTGAGTAACATTGGACCTGAGCTCTAGTGTCTTAACTCACAAGACCGAAGTATCAGTAGCTGCTGCCTCTACCATAAGATGGTGCATTTTATTTCCATTGTTGTGAGAAGAAAAATACACCTGTTGTTTCTATCACGGCACTGCTCCACAATAGGAGTCCCAGCATCTGAAAAGCCAAGACAGAAATGGGCACAACAAGAAGGCACAAGTAAAGGAGGCTGGGTGCTTGATCCTCTAAAACCTTCTCTCTTACTACTAACCAAAGAGTCTTGAGAAGATCTGCCAGTCCAATAGCCTAAACGTCTTATACTGTCTCACACAGGCCTACTGCTGAGAGTAGGAAACAGGGAGGCTGGGCCTGCACCTTCCTGTTATAACATAGAAGAAACAAACTCTGGTAGCTGATTTTAAGAGGAGTGTGTAGATGAGTGCACTCACGTTTATGCTGTGCTGAAGAGAAGCTGCCTATGACTAAAGGTGCCTGGAGTGTTTGCATTAGTGACCCCAACAAATGGCAGTCCGTGTCAGTTACATATCATGGTCTTAATTACTGTGTATTCAAGGTGCTATAGGGTTAGGAGCAGGAACTCTCTCAGCTGTTCCCCTCCCCAAAATCCAACATGGTAGGTAGTGGTATCCTCACTGTGCAACTAAAGAAGTAAGCTCTGAGAGATTCCAAGACGTCCTAACCACTGCACAGCTAATGGCATTTATGGCCAGCCAAAGTCCATGCAGTGACTTGAGAAGAGGTAATTAAATTTCAGCATAACTTAGTCTGGGCAATCAAAATTTCTGAATTACCAATTTATCAATCCATTATATTCTTAAAATTCTGCTGTCACAGTGGTTAAGAACTCCCAAGTCAGGATGCCATCTCTACCCATTGTTAGCTGTATAGCCATGGGCAGGTCATGCACCCTCAGCCATCATGCCCACTGCTTAGTCTCTGCTATAAAATCAGTGATCCTCCCATGAGCTTCTAGTAATAATGTGTATTAATCATGAAGAATACTACCTAGCACATTCTGAGTACTTATTATTGTTGTGTATGCTGTCTTACTGTTATTTTCTATTGCAATATTAAATTGTTTTTATAGTTTTCAGTGTGTGTAATGGTATTTTATATGGATTTTATTTTATCCTCTAACATTTCTGGTATTGTGAATAATTTTTAAATCTCTTAAATCTGTATGGCTTTCCAAATACTTTATTTTTGTGTGTTAGTACTCTCTTTCAATACATTATAAGGATTGTTTTTCAAATAGCATTATAAAAGGATTATTTTTAAATAACTTCCATTGTACTTAACACTTTATAATTATTTTAATTCAGGACATGGCCCAGTAATACACAATGCTGAAGCTAAAATTCTAGAATACATTTCTCACAGAAATATTCGAGAAGATCAAATTCTTGCTTTACTTCGGGAAAACACTGAGAAACCATTTACAGCAAAGGAGCTTGTAGCAATTATTTACAAGGTAATTTTTTGTTTTATTTGTAAATTGCCACAAATGTATTAGAATGACCAATTTAATAGACTGTGGTAAGTGTACACATTTCAGATCAGACCAACTCTTTCCTTTTTAAGATTTAATTATCAGTCTGGAAGACAGAAATAGAGAGGGAGAGAGAAAAAGAGAGAGAGATCTTCCTTTCATTAGTTCACTTCACAAATGATAGCTAAGGCTAGAACTAACCCAAACTAATGCCAGAACCAGGATCTCCATTTGAATCTCTCACATGGTGCAGAGGCCCAAGTACTTGGAACATCTGTTGCTTTCCTGGGCACATTGGCAGGGAGCTAGATGAGAAGTGAAACAGCCAGGACTTCAACTAGCACTCATATGGAATGTTGCATTGTTGACAGTGGATTAATCCACTGTGCTCCCAGTACAAGTCTGAATCACATAAAGGATGGGATGAAGCTGTGGACATATTGCCACTAGGGCCCACCAAATGCGCCATCCTAGTGGTATTGGACAAGATGGGGTGGCAGTTTGAGAGGGGCATGAGAGGGGAAGGGGCACATTGCTCAGGAAGTGGGTCTAGGGCAAATAAGGATAGGAACCACCAAGGGCTTATTTGACATGAATGGGATGAATTCAAGGGGTTTCCACAGACCAGGCCACTGTAACTGCAGGTAATCAAGGGCATCGATAGAGTGTATCAGGATGGGGAATCCAGAGGGCCAAGGCACCCACTTGAGCACATGAGAGCTGGAAGTAGTGGCAGATTTGTCACACAGATCACAACACTGCTGGCACTCCTGAGAGCCATGTTTTGGGGCAAATCTGGTAGAGATTCTTTGAATTGGCCCCAACTGGGCCACAGCATGCAATAGTGCACACAAAATCCAGGGCTGGGAATTGTAATCTCCAGCATATGCATAGGCTGATTGGGGCAAAGGTCTGTCCTGGACTCTGTACTGGAAAGGATACATAAGAATCTGGTCTGAGATCACTTCAGACGAAGTTTATTTGGGGATCCCCCAATAGAATTGCTGGACTAAGAACCCCAACCATGAAGAGAATTGCAGGTTCCATGGCCTGACCATGGAGTGCATGTGTCAGACCTGAGCCTCCTCAGTGGCTCAGACGGGGCAGTGGACAGCATATCCAAATGCACATGGAGGATATGATAGTACATTGGAGTCCTATGCAGATAAGATACCTGGTACCAGAACAGAGGACAGAACAAATTTGTCAACTACCCCAGTCAAGTATTGGCAGTGAAAATCTGGGCAAGTGGAGACACTAAGGTGGACTATGTTAGCCAGAGGATTCTGAAGAGATTTCATCATTCTTGGAATGGTGAGATTGGCAGCAATTCAGAACTATCGAAACCACTTGAGCAGTGCCCTCAGAGCATGCCCCACACTGGGGACCCTGGGATGGTTGGGAGGGTGGCTGTTTGTCTCTCCTCTTACCCCAGATACAGGAAGGAAAAAAGAGAATGTGGAAACAATGGTCTTCCTACTTTCCTGTAGCCCTTGAACCTTTGAGCCCTAATCAATGATGTAAAGATCATCAAAATTAAAAAAAAAAATAATCAGGGGATGGGGTTGGGCCTGGAAGGTATCTTCAGGAACACCCCTGCTAGACTGAAGCACCCACAGGTATATATGAAAGCCAGGTCTGGGAGTGGGACTGACCAGGCACTTGTACCCACCAGTATGTTTTCTGATACAATAGGCAGGCTGAACCTGACCTCCTTCAACAGATCCACAGGAGAGCCAGGACTGAGGACCTCCCAGGAAAGCTATCTTAGGGCTTCCCAGCTGTACTTATGCTTTCAGTCCATGACCTCAGGGAAAATCACATGGACCCATGGTCTAAACCCGTGGTCACAGGACTTGGCCACCTCAGTTACTGACTCCTGTGCAAGAATAAAGAGCATATGAAGGTGCACACAAAAAAACAAGATAGCAAGCTCATCTAAGTCAACAGAGGACTTTCAGTACCTCATCAAAAAGTCAAAAGTGAGACAGGTTGAACAACACTCTAGACCAGGCTCTATAGCAAACACCTAGATCTGTGAACACATACTGAAGTGCACATGATCAACCAACAGAACTTAGAAAGAATTTGATAAACCTCTGGGGCAAGTAAGAATAGGAACCACGAAGGGTGGTTCTCAAAATAATCAAGACATTTAAAGTTACACCATTGGAACATTCTTTCTCACATCAGTATCAGTAGCACTCCCTGAGTGCTAGTGCAGTCTGACAGCAAAGAGCAGCTCAATCTCCCCAGCCCTCCCTTTTGGACAAAGGAGAGAAGACTGAAATATCTGTGTCCACCTTCCTCCATCCTGACCCTCTCCACCCTAACAGAGGCTCACATGGGTGTTCGATCACTCCTATAATCAGTATTATAATTTTTTAAAAAAGAAATAATGATTAAAAATATAAGTTTGAGACTGTTGCTAAAGAACTGTAATATTTAATAATATGGGGATGACAGTAGAAAGGTAAGGGAGATTGGGGAGGGTAGAATGGGCAATCCTTGAGTCCACAGAACTGTATCATGAAAAAACAAAAATTTAAAAATAATAATAATAAAATATAATTCAAATAAAAATAAATTTTATAAAATAGAAAAACAAGTCTTAATCGCATAGGCAATGCCGTTGTGTAGAGACCAGCAGTCTCAACTTAAAAGACACTGAAGTTAAACAAAATGTTAATGAGTTTTTACTCTATTCCTGTATAACAAACATAAGGCTATTCATAGCAGGGGGGAACAGAACTGGAACTATATTTGTGGGACAAACACTATGTGTTATTCGCAGGAATATATAAAGAAATACAGAGACCCAAGAAATATGTACAAAGCGAAATTCTTTAGTTAGAGTGATGTTAAAATGTGTTAGACATGGGCAGTGGTTAAACAAGTTGCTTGGAACTTCCACATCCCATATTGGAATTTCTGCTTCTGATGCAGCTTCCTGATACTACACATCCTGGGGGGGCAGATGCAGCCTGCCCCCCGCCCTGCTCCCCTTGAGGGGAAACCAGAATACAGTGCTAGGCTTCTGAACCTTCCCTAGCACTGGGAAGTAAACCAGAGATGGAAGATATCTGTCTCTCTGCTTTTCAAATAAAAAAATCAATAAAAATAAGTTAATTTTTCAACATATACCATGATGTGGTTAGCTAAACCTCTACCTGAGGCACCGCAGCATCCCATATGGGTGCTGGTTCAAGTCCCAGCTGCTCCACTTCCCATCCATTCTGCCTGCTGATGGCCTGAGAAAGTAGAGAATGGCCCAAGTCCTTAGGACCCTGTACCCACAAAGGAGACACTGTAGAAGCTCCTGGCTCATGGCTTTGGGATGAGCTTAGCTCCAGTTGGAAGACTTCTGTTTCTCCTCTTGTAACTCTGCCTTTCAAATAAAAAAATAAAAATAATTTTCAAAAAAAGCTTAAATGTGTAACTTTTAAGTTGAACTTTTTATTGCATTTTTTTCTTCAAAAGTTTCAAAAATGTTAATGTTTTTCTTTGTGGAAATTTTTCTCACTTATGCTTTACTTTCAGAACATTCCTGAGAACTTACATAGAATGGCTGAACATAATGTCTTCCTTCATTTGAAGAAACTAGAAAAAGAAGGAAAAATATGTAAGTACACTTTCAGATTTTAGGGGTTTTTGTTGTTGTTAACCAGCATTTTTCTCAAGATTTACTTACTAGCCTATTTTTATTCATACATGAGTAAATGCTTTTATTTATTTATAAGACATTCATGTATTTATTTGAAAGGGAGGATTAGAGAGTGGGCACAATACAAAGAAAGAGATCTTCCATCCACTACTTCACTCCCCATCATGGCTACAGTGGCCAAAGTGGCTGATGCTGACCCAAGCCAGAGCCGGAAACTTGCAGTTCCATCTGGATCTCCCACATGGTGGCAGCAGTCCAGCTATTTGGACCGTCTCCCACTGCCATCTCTAGTATTAACACGGACTGGATTGCAAGTGGAGTAGCTGCGACTCAAATAAGCACTCCAATTTGGGATGCTAGCGTCGTAAAGAGAGGCCACAGTGTCAGCCCATATTAACAGCATTTAAAATACTTTTTTTTGGAAGATTTATTTTTTACTTTTTTTATTTGAAAGGCAGAGTTACAGACAGAAGGAGAAATACAAACATCATCCGTCTGATGGTTCACTTCCATGTGGGTGCAGTAGACCCAAGGACTTGAGCCATCCTCTGCTGCTTGCTCAGGTCATAAACAGGAACCTGCATCAGAAGTAGGACAGCCAACACAGGAATGGGCACTCATATGAGATGCTGGTGCCACAAAAGAAGATTAACCTACTATGCCATGGAGCTGGCTCCCATTTGAAATACTTTAACAGATGGATTAATTTTCATTTAGTAAAAATAACACCCTTCAACGTTCACTTAAAAGTGAACGTTATAGTGAACAGGTACAGAGTAAAAACTCCACTTTTAAGTAGGAGTAATTGGTCCTAGGAAGGTTGATAGCACCAAACCAGTGTACAACACATTGGAAACAAAATTCCACATGACTTAGAATCTCAGTTACTATTCGAACCCTCATCCAACCCTCTGATTACAGTCAAAGGCAGGTCAAGGAAGAGCTGGCCCAGTGGCATAGCCAACTAATTTTTTACCTACAAGCCCAAGCATCCTGTTTGAGCACTGGTTCATATCCAGCCTACTCCACTTCCAATCCAGCTTTCTGTTTGTGGCCTGAAAAGGCAGCAGAGGATGGCCCAAGTTCTTGGGCCCGTGCACCTGGCCAGGAGACCCAGAGGAAGCTCCTGGCTTTGAATCAGCTCAGCTCTAGTTATTGCAGCCATTTGGGAAGTGAATCATCAGATGAAGACCGATCTGTCTGTCTGTCTCTCTCTTTATCTGTCTCTCTCTCTGTGTCTGCCTAGAAAATCTGCCTTCCAAATAAAAATAATTGTAAAGAAAAGTCAGGGGAGGGCAAGTCAAGAGAAAGATAGCTTCTCTTTTCACATACCCCAAGATTATGAAGAATTTTTGTGAGCACCCAGAGGTTTTAAGCAGTAGTAAAGGCAGTAAATTCAAAGATAACAAATCAATAATTCTGTAATTAGTGATAGAAGTTTGACTCTTACAATCAAGGCTAAAAGCTTGAGTTTCATATAGAAGCCTTCCAGTGTCTACACATGTAAAATGACTACTGAGCAACAGAATATGATACTATAACATAATGGGCAGCAGTGCCAGCATTCCATGTGGGCATAAGTTTGAGTCCTGGCTGTTCCACTTCTTGTCCAACTCCCTGCTAATTTGCCTGGGAGGATGGCCCAGGTTCTTGGGCCTGTACACTCATGTAGAGACCTAGAGGAAGTTTCTGGCACAGACGGGCTCAGCTCTAGCCATTGAGGCCATTGGGGAGTGAACCAGTGGATTGTTCTCTCTCCCTCCAAGCTGGTAACCCTTTCAAATAAATAAGTTAACATTTTTTTAATTTTTAATAAGTAAAATTTTGGAAAACAATTATTTTAGAAATGAGTTATTTTTCTAGCTTTACGACAACTTAAAATCCAGTATATTTACTTACCCACTGTTAAATTGTACTCTCATTTTCTTTCCACAGTCAGCGACACACGTCCTGAGCAGAAATGGAAAGCTGTTCTTTAGTGTCACATTAGTGAAAGTTCTGTTTTATTTTTAGGGGATGGTATGTTTTCTTAGCTGTGGATCATTTAGAGAGAATATTAGAGTGGAATATTGAAAAGTATCCTAGATACACATTGAATAATGTCATGTTATTCTAAAATCTATGAATTACACATTGACAATACAGATTTTTACATAACATTAGCCTTACAGATTTTTACCAAAAATTAAAAATCAACAGTCTAGCACTTTTTAGTAATAATCAGTGGTAATTACCTTAACATTAATAAAATTTCTTTAAGTTCAAAAGGCTGTTATTCTTGGAGATTAGTTTTCTGTTACCAATGGTTGGTAATTCTGTTTCCTCTAGCAGCTTCAGTTTACAGTACAGATTTATATGTCTTCTTAAATTTTCCTCAATCTTTGTCTATTATCTGAAGATAATAGCTTTATTTTCATGTTTCTGTAATTTTTTGTGATTAAGTATTGGTTCTATAATATTGTATGTTTTTTGTGGTGATATCCCACAAATGATTGATGAAAATCAGCTTTTGTTAACTGAAAAATGTAAATTGCACAATTAAAAGTATTATGTGATAAATAATTTGCTGAAGTCCATTAATGTATCCAATATATATATTCCAAATTTGCATTTTATTATATAAACATCAATTTGTAAGTGAATTGTATATGAAAAGTATGTTTTATATTAGAGGATTATAAGAGGGCATTTCTTTGAAGTAGTGGTTTTCTTAGTAGTAGTTACATTCACATGGTAGTCCATTCTTAATTTCCAGGTAAAAATAACCCATGATGTAATTAAAGTACAATATAAAAATAAGCTAAGGATCCTCAGAAAGTATTTTGTTTATCCTCCCCCCCCCCAAGTAGCTAACACAGAGATTTTTTTTTTTTATTTTAACTGACATCTTCATCTCTACCCCTCTTCCCAAGAATCCCTGGCATTTTCATAATATTCTCATGTCTTGGAAACCTTTTCTATTTCCAATATATATTACAAATAACCATAAATTCATAACAAAAAACCCTCTCAAAAATGAGCCAAATCCAATTTCCATTTTTCTTCCTGTTGTTGAATTTGTGCTGTGGCTTTTCATTTGATGGGATGATATTCTACCATCTCTACTTTCAGATCAAAGATGGTCTCTCAATGAAACTGTTGAATTTATCTTGACAGTTGGATGCTAGATTCTCTGCATTGTCCATACCTCCCCACAGTGATGGAATTATGACTGTATATGAGCTGCACTACTGTAATAATATGGAAGAAATCAATATGGGGGAAGGGCTTTGGGAGGGTATAGGGGGAATCCCAGAGCCTATGTAACTGTGTCATAAAAGGAAATAATAATTTAAAAAAATAGGAAACTAAAGAGTAAATAATATGTTAGACAAACAAAAAAAAAAAAGAGAGAGAGAGAGCCAAATCCAAGCCATAGTATCCAGTGACAAAGGCCAAGATGGGGAATGGGCTGTGCTGAGCTGGGTCAGAGCAAACCACTGGCATGAGCAAGAGCTATTGCTAGAAACAGGCCTGGTTGGGGAACTTAGGGAACACACTGGCGAGGTTGAAGTTCCCACTGGTAAGTGTAAGAGTTGGACTGGGGCCAATGGTTTGGGCTGAACATGACTGCAGTGTACCTTGGCATGGGTATGGACTGTGTCTGGAGTGCACCAGACTGGGCAAGACTCCCAACATCCACTGGTTTTCATTTCATGGAAGACAGAGTATGTATAGAATGGGGTGGGCTAGGTCTCAGCCCCACTGAACCATGTGAGAGCTGCAACAGGGCATGGACCGGGCATGGCTGGACTATAACACCCAACAGCAAGAACCCAAATGGATGTGGATTGGTTGGACAAGGCCACTGGTCCTGCCAGAATAGGAGGTAGACTAAGCTTGGGCCAAGGACCCACTGGTGTGCATGAGAGCTGCCACTGGGAGGAGACCTGATGCAGGAGCTTGGAGAAGTCCTTTGTCAGGACACAGTCCCTGCAAGTGAGCTCAAAAACCAAGGCAAGGAGCAACCCAGACAGGCCACGTTACAGTACTCACTGCCTTATGTGTAGCTCTGGTCTGGGGGCAGGCCAGGCTGAACTAGTTCATAACACCCACCAGCAGATGTGAGAACCATGGTAGGGTGCAGGACAAGCAGGGTCAGGCCGCAGCACCTGCCAAGTCACATTTGTGCCAAGACTGGGGGCAGGCTGGGCCAACTGGGCAGCAGCACCCACCAGCGCAAGCTGCAGCAGGGGGCAGATAGGGCCAGGTCAGGATACAGCACTTGGCAGCAAATACCAAGGTGACATGGGCCATGCCAGACTGGCACCCACCAGCAAACATGAGACCCTGGAGGGAGGGTGTGAACCCTGCAGGGGAGCAATGAGGACTCCTTTGCTGGGCCACTCCTGCTTATCAGCATGAGAGCTAGGGCTGGGGGCAGACCAAGCTGGGCAGTGTTACGACACCTGTTGGCCTATATGTGAACTGGGTTAGGGAGAGAACCAGGCTGGGCTAACTATAGCCACTGGTGCATACATAAGCCAGAGTAAGTACAGGCAGATTGGGCTTTGATATAGCATCAGCTGGTAGATGCTGGGACTAGGGCAAGTTCTGTCAAGCTAGACTGCAGAACCACATGGAAAGTACAAGATCCGGGGCATGGAATAGGTAGGGAAACTGTGGGCACCTCTCTGATGAGCTGCAACTCCCACTGATGAATATAAAACCAGGACTGGGATGAGGCCTGGCTAGACAGATGGTGGCACCTGCTGGCATGAGTGTGGGTTTGAGGGTGGAGTCAATTGGAATGAGTTAGGCTTCAGTATCCAATTATGTGTACAAGAGCTGAATGGGAGGTGAGACATACCAGCCCAGTTCACTGCACATGTTGGCAGGCAAAGAAACCAGGACTGGGGGCCAGCCCAGTGGGGGTCATTGGGGATCACTCTGACTGGGCTGCAGCTCTCAATGGTGTACATGAGGGCCGAGTATGTAGCAGGCAGAGAGCTGGGCTGGGTCACAGCATCTGCTGGTTTGCATAGAGGAGTTGGGGAAAGAGGACAGAACAAATTCATCAACTACCTTAGTGAAACATGACAGCAAATTTCTGGAAAAGTGGAGACCCTGAGGTGGAGTATGCCAGCCAATGGACAATTAGAAGGATTTCCTCATCCTTGGGACTGTGAGATCAACAGCATTTCAGAACTATCAAAACTATTTGAGCAGAACCCTCAGAATATGCTCCATACCTGGAGCCCTGGGAGGACATCAGGTGGCAGTTCCCCATTCCCAGGTACTGCGACAGTTGGGAAGCTGGATGTGGTTGTTCCCCTTATTTCCTCCTTTTCCCCCAGATACAGGAAGAAGAAAAAGACAATGTAGAAACAATGGTCTCACTCACTTTCCCCTAATTCTTGACCCTCCCCCCCCATCAGCTATATAAACATCATCAAAAATATTTTTTTTAAAAAAGGGCCAAAAACATCTTTCCCATTTTCTACAGAAGGTATACAAACATCCAATAAACACATAAAAACTTCAACTTCACTAATCATTCAAGAAATGCAAATCAAAAACAATAGACCACTTCTTGTTCATTGGGATGGCTGTTTTTTAAAAAGACCAAAAAATATCAAGTGTTAGAGAAACAGAAATTAGAAACCCTTGAGCATTGTGTGTGGGAACATAAACTGATATAGCCACAATGGAGAGCAATATGGTGCTTCCTCAAAACACCACACAGAAAATTAGTATATGCTCCAGCTGAGTATGCATTTCCCTCAAATTTGCTTCTTCAACAGGTATTTTTACACCCATGTTCACAACAGCATTGTTTACAATAGCTAAAAGGTGGAGGCAACCTAATTGCCCATCAAAAGATGAGCAGATAAATGTGGTACAAACATATGATACATTATTACTCCAAAAAAAAAAAATTCTGACACATGTGGCCACATGGGGTAAATCTTAAAGACATTATGCTAAGTGAAATAGGTCAGTCACAGAAGAACAAAAACTGTGTAACTCCTCCTATATGAGATAATCAAAATAGTCAAATTAATGGAGGTGGAATATAGAATAGTGGTTGCCGGAGACTGCACAGAGGGTATTACGGCATTATTGTTTGGTGGGTAAGGAGTTATGGCTTGGGAAGTTGAAAAAATGAATGATACTGTTACAGCAATACAATGTGAATGCATGCAATTCAGAGAAGAATACCTTTAAATATGGTTAAAATGGTAAATTAAAAGACAGGAACTTTGAAGGACACGTTTAAACAAACAGAGAAACATTAGCCAGTATGAAACAGAGAGGGCACATTCCAGGAAACAGAAGAAGACAGAATAACAGCAGAGGGGCAACTGTAGATTGAAAAACACAAGAAAGCAATGGACAAAAGAATGTGGTGTTGCATTGACTGATACCTCCGTGGCATTCAGCAAGTGGCTCCACCAGAAACCAGATGGGAAGGGACTTTCACTGGGAGATCAGGAGGTGAACCCAGACAAAGAATGCCCAACCTGCTGGTATGTTTGATTTGACTAGGGGCAAAGACAGAGCAGCAGATCGCAGACAGGCAGTGCTGGCACATGGCAGAGATCACAGCCCAGTCTGCCCTCTAGAGCTGAATCAGGTGGGGTGCCATTTTGTTTAAGGAGGCAAAGGGTATGGACAATACTGCACAGGCACTGAGCAGAGAGTGAACTCATTTTGGCTCAGTGAACTGCAACAATGTGGCATCCTACAGGTTCCACCCAAGACAGGTACTGGCAGCCCTCAGACCTGATGGCCAGGAGATCAAGTTAGTAGTGGCACATCAGGTGCTATTTCTTACAGTGTGGCAAAAGTTTTAAGACTGCAAGGGAAAACAGTGAGCTGCACATTTGCTGAGCTGGGAGCAAACTCACTGAGCTCAGTGCATTGCACTGGTCCCACAAGAAAATAATACCGACTATGGCATCATGCGGGTCAAAATAGGTCTGTGTGGTGCTCAGACGTAACAGCCAGCAGGTTCCTGCAAGATTATCACCACCAACAACCTAGCTATATAGATCTCCTGGTCTCTCCCTAATCCTGGGACCTACTCCAATTGGAAGTAGGAGAAAGGTTGTACAGACAACAGTGCAGCCTCAGAAGGTGGAGACTGGTGAGCCAGGAGCTGGGAATACAAAGACCATGGTGGAAATCTAACATAAGAACCCAAACCTGGAATTCACTGGAGGGAGTGGCAAAACTGACTGCAAACAAAGAGCCATGTACCAACTACAATAAGTAAAACTGAACTGTAGACCTGTGGGCAACACAGCTTAGAAACCTGACCCCCAGGACAGGTGAGAGGCTGTGCCAAGCTGAGTCAGAGCAACCACTGGCATGCAAGTGATCTATGGCTGGGAACAGGCCCGGTTGGGGAGCTAAGGGGACAACCCTAGCTGGGTGGAGGTCCCCACCAAGGGGTATATGACCTGGAATGGGGGCTGCATTCTGATCGGGAAACGGTTGTAGTCTCCCTTGGCACAAGTGTGGACTGGGATTGGATACACTGAACCTGGCCAGACCCCAACACCCTCTGGTGTC